TCTTGGCCGAGCTCCTTCTTTCGGCATCGACCGCAACATTTTTCGTTTCTCGTCCGCCCGAATATAAAACAAGGTTGTCATAATCGTCATTATAGATGTCCCGGTATCCCTGGAAGGTTTCCGCAATTTTGTATGAAGCTAATACTTCAACCATGCTGTCTCTTCAGCATTGTATATCAGCTCGTCCTTGGTCGTCGTAAGATATATCGCTCTTGGCATCTCGTCACTTTACTGCAATAATGGGTTAGCCACTCATATTCTCTCTCTTCCTCCTCACCACACACAATGTTCGTGCCCATGTCCATGCCCGTGCCCCGACACCCACAGCCCACGGCATATGCAAGAAGCACAGCACCACCATCACAGACCACGCACACCCCTTTTTGGTCTTCCCGTCCCTCTTTTTCCTCTTCTTGGGGATCCTTCCTTTCTTTGTGCTCTCGGCTCAGTTCTGCTTCCTGCCTTTTTCCGTCCGTCCTTCTTGTTCGGGCTCGGGCTCTTCACTCAATGCGAATAGGCATAAAGGAAAGGAGAGGAAAGGAAAATCATGTTTTAGACTCACCTGGCCAAGCGATTGTAGCCTGTGATCATGCTCTTCTCTCATACGATAGATCTGACCAAGGACTTCTTGCATCTCAGCACACGTTCGTTCAATGGTGGCATTTCGGTTGCCCTCCCTCTGCCAGCGCTGAACGTCGCGATACATCTTGTCGTACCTGCGCTGCTTCTTCTCTGTGTCGTGGCAGAGCTTGCAAACGTCTCTTTCGGTCCTGGTTTCGTAGACAAGCTTCAGGCCGCAAGTTTCGCCCATGCGGTATTCTTTGTTGCACTGCTGACGGAAGTGCCCCCAGCGCCAGTAGCCGCATGCCCAGCGAGTTTGGTCAAAGTAGCACATGGCTCAAGGGTTTTGAGAGTTGACAAGAGGCTTGGTGGCAAATAGTCGAGGCGGGAAAAGCAGGGTATCTCTAACTGGTTCGACAGAAGAGGAGAAGAAGCGGAAACACCGAAGGCGGAGAGCGGAGTTCAAGAGGCGAACTCGTGGTCGATTCGAGCCGAACCCGAAGTTCAAGTCAACACTTATCGAGTCGTGTCGAAGCGATGAAAGTCAACCACCCTGGGGCAATCCAACAGTAGCCGAGCCGGAACGGTACAAACAATGTAAAGGTTGGGTTCAATCGAGTCGAGAAGAATTCTAGGATACACAGGTTAGTCACTGGGTCTCTCCTATTGTCTCTATTCCATCTGTGCCTCGACTTCGCGTTGGGCAGGCAATTTTGTTTCTACCCAATGCAAAAAACTCCCACTTGTCGGACTCATATTCATGCCACTGGTTGCCTTTCCTTTCATTGTAAACACGACATTATCTCATCATGGTCCCGTCTTCACCATCCTCATAACCTCTGGTATGGCTTCCTGCCGTGTGGCGTCCCGACAGATAATACATAACCAGAACGACGCAACGACGGGAAATAAAGCGCATCTATGCGTTGATGGTGCACTTGCTTGATTTGAAAAGAGCAAAGATATATACCATACTTACTTGAAATGTGACTACTGTGAGATGGGCTGTACAGCCAGGCCCTAGAGCAAACTCAGTAGCTTTATGGGAGTTAACAAATATTTGGAAGCTGCTAGTGTTCGATGTCCTTGTTGATATTGAGGCTAATCAAGTGAGGTTTATTTACTTCAAGTCCGTAGTCCTCGGTCTTGGTTGTTGGTCCAGTCGACTGCTTTGCTGTGCTAGGTGGTTGATATCTCAAGATATCCAGCGTCTTGGAGCCGATATATGGGTCTGAAGCTGCTCTTCTATAACGTATGAAGTCGAAGTTGGCCTGGAAGAACAAAGTATGATTAAGAAACTGGTCAACTGAAAGACCAACGTGGTGTGTAGGCTTGTTTAAGGGCAACAGAATGATGAAGATGGGGTGTAGTCCGGACCGAGTGGATGTCGTAGGCAACTTATACTTGTTTGATCCAAGAGTCCTTCTGCGTATTCGATCTTCTTGCTGTATCTGTATATGGCATCCCACACCCACATGTGGGACTCCGGCACAACCAACAAGCAATCGCATTCGTTCCTTGGACCCCTTGCCCTCCTCAATTCGGGCCAGATTAATGGCCGTCCATTATGAGCTTGAGCTTGAACTTCTGCTTTTGCTTGTGCATTTGCGTCTGCATTTGCATCTGCATCTGCATCTGCATTTGCTTCTGTTTTTGTTCCTGCGGGATAAAGAGGCTTGCTTGTATGTGTCGATTGGGTACCCTTACTTAAAGCCCCATATGGTCCTTTCTTCTCATCGCATCACCATCCTCCACCAGCAAAAGTGCCTTAAACGCACCCCTCCTCCTCCTCTCTGATATGGTACTCCATCGATTCTCTTCTGCCGCTGCCACACGACGTACCCCGACTATCCATCAGTTCTAACCTTGAACAACTTGGTTCCTGGGTCTTAATGTAGTGCCGGAGCAGCCAATGTGCGCCTATGCGTTTCTCAAAGACCCTGCAGCATATCTATCAATGATTGGAGCCACCCAACAACAAGTATCTATTGTCTTAGAATCAAGTTGGCTTTTCATCATGTCTCGTCTTCATCCAACCATCAATCATATCACGCCTCCAAGTATCCGTCTTGTTAGCTGACTGCCTCCATTCTCATCAATAACAATGGCTGTCAGTCCAAACTCGACAAGGCTCTGATAGCTTAGCCCAAGAGCCATATTTGATGGCATAGGACAAAAGCCCGATGGTCGCTTGCCACGTTGATCAAGACCTAAAATTCGATACACGCCCCCCCTTCGCAATATCAGCAACTACAGCGAGAACCAGGGTTGAAGTACGGGGCATCCCCACACCACAAGATACTACTGCAGTATTCTGTGTGTACAGCACTTCACCGTGATGTTGTAGCTGCAGTGAAAGCAACGAAAGCAGGGCTGACGGAGGACCAAATAACTTGGACAAACCCGCGGGGATGTGTATGAGTATGTGCATGGCTGCATATGCCCTTGGTGTGATTCAATTTGCCTTTCAGCCTTTGTTGTCGTCCTAATGCACAACGTACCTGATGAGTAAATATAGCTTGGCTGCCTCTGTTTTGCAAGACTCGAAGACCCATAACAGAGACCTTAGTCTTGGGCTTACCTCACTCATCACCCGCTTTTCCTTTCTGGTTCAGTTCTTGTCGACCATGGACATGCTGCACTTGTTGAAATCGTTCTTTCAGCATTCCGTATACATTCCATGGCACGTCCTTGATCACGGAGCCGTGAGGCAACCGGGCCACATTAACGGTCATGTTATTGCTACGAGTCCTGTGCCTTTCCCGCTGCGGGCCAGGTCTCGGTCGCGTCCTCTTGAAATCTTGACCTAGTCGAGTGCACGAGTGCACATAAGGTGGTGTCTTGATCTGCGGCCGCTGTGGGGCTTCATGGTTCGTCCCGAGGACGGACAAGTGTCAGGAAACAAGGGAATTCTGGATGCTTGCAATCTCGACGAATTCGGTGAAGGCAAGGGATCTAATTCGCTGCTTTTCTCCTCCTCCGTGCGTCAAGCCCTTGCGTTGCGGACTCGAGTTCGATGGCACCGCCGGCCCATTGGAAGAAGGGATGCAGCTCAGGGATCCGCCATTGGACTTTCTCTCATGGTCTACAGCATCGAGTGCTCTTTACGACATCGCATCGTCCTACTTCTACAGGAAAACTTGCATTGGAAGTTGCCGGCTTCCCACTTCCAATTTGAGACTTCTGTTGGGCCAAAAGACCTGTGCATCATGTCCATTACTCTGAATCAAGCTCTGGACGAGAGATGCCTGCAAATCTCGCCACCGCGGGACATGGCAATCGACTTGGTAGGTTGCTACAACCATGCTGCCTGTGTTCCCCAATTCACGCCTGTTGCTGTTGGTTGTTTTTGTTCAACAGAACCTCGTGGTATGTCTCGGCTGATTGCTTCTGTTGTTGCGCAATAGCCTTGTGTCTTCCAACCCACATATCAGTGCAGATTCTGGTCTAAAGAGTCATGAAGAGACTTTTGTGTGCGGGCTCTTCCCATCGAACAACCGAATTTCATAATCATGCCTGCGAAAATCTTTTCGGGGTTCCTTTCACTTCTCCTGGATAGAGTACAATCCTCCCTGTTGGTCCTTCCTCCAGGGTCTAACGCAGGAGCCTCAGCCTCTCTTCTCCCCATAATATTTTCTTGGACAATAAGCAGGCATCCGCAAAGGATTCAGATCAAACTGGATTGAGTTAGTTAGCTCGTAATTGTAAATTGCTGCAAGTCCTCGCCTCGGTAGTACCATATAAGAATGGGGGGAGTTTGCATGCTTTTCGTGCATGGCTGCCGGCTCACATGAATGATTAAAGTTCCGTCCTGCCACTAGACCATTGGCTTGTCATTGAAGAAGCTTCTTTGTCAAACACCATTATCGACAGTTCAGAAGTCATTTCAGAACCATGCTGATGTGCACAAGACATGTAGAGGCACAACGTGGCAGCATCCCTCTGGCCAAGACTGCAGCCTAGCCATTGCATTCCATCGACTTCGAAGGGAGAAGAGAGAATTGAATGCCTGTCGACATGACAAAGATACCGTGGTATATTATTGCCTTGAGACATCCAGTCATCCCTCTACCGCCTCATCTGTGCTGGCTTCATGGTGTATCACGTCTTGCATGATACGCACGCCTCGCTTTTATCGACGCTGGATCTTGAGTGACCATGCAAAAAGAACTGGCTATCACATCAGAGTCGTTTGACAAGCAGCAATCTTTATTCTAGGGGGCGTGTGAGTTAATATGTATCAGTTGTAGCAACCTGTCGATATCACTCTGTGGCGATGATTCCCTTGACATAGGCTGCAAAACCTTTCGTGAAGCAGTCTGGAAGACAAAGTGCTCATACTATCGCTTTATATCAACGCTAACTGTCAGCACTTCGAAGCCCATGTTCAGGACCATAAGAATGAAGAACTTGAAGGAGCTCGCCGTGATCTCATTCAGTCATGCACGTATGCACACTGAGCAAAGAGTAAGACTCCCAATGTCACGATGATAAGCTCGTTGTTCTCTCCCACCAACAGCATGTGGAAGCTCTTGCCCAGTGATGAGCATAAGTGGCATTAAGAACTGCCATCGACAGGCATTTCCAGCACCCCCGAACATGGGATATGGCGGTGACAAAGGATTCTTTACGGGGAAACATGACGAGACATCCGAATACTGCTGAGCTGGCCTTCTGCTTCGGGAATGGCCTGCGTCTCGGACAACTGACTCGTCTGTGATGACTTCACAGCCCGCATGGGACCAGGAGCGTGAGGAGACAGGGAGCCAAGTCAAAAGAGCTTGATACTCGGCCTTAACATTGGGCATTGTTAGGCTCAGCAGGGATGCACGTCGAATTCTCGATCTCTGTGGCTGGGGAGTGTCAAAGAATATACCATTACGCATGTATATTGGGTGTCGGCGACTCTTTGCGTGTACTCGCATCCGTTTTGGTGGGTGGATGCACCAAGCGAGACACAAGCTGTAAGCTCGAGGCTCCAGGGGGTTCACCACTTCTCATGATCCAGAAGAAGGGCAATCAAGAATGGCCGACTTGTAGGCCTGAGACTGGCTATTGAAACAACCTGGTGTCAAGGGGATAAATACACAGACCATCCGCAGGCCTCGTAGCTTTTGGTGAACTGTATTCCCTGCTTGCTGAGCCTGATGATCACAACGGCCCGGTTTAGCGGCCGGGCCGGCCCGCTCTGGATTTCCATTCCAATATTTCGAGTCTTTAAATCGGGCTTGTTTGCTAAACAGTTAACGCCAAGTCCAATCCTTTTCGAGGCACTCAACATATTTCGCAAGGTTTCTGAAGAAACCTTAATCACGGGATTTCTCTGGTAGAGCAGCGATGCAATTGCGAAGATACAGCCGGATGATACCCAATCACCATGCACACGGACAGAAAAGTACAGGAGGAAGCTTCGGCAGGCCATTGCGACGCTGAAGCTGGAATTTGACCGTAGAACCAGAGTTTAAGCAAGGTAACTCCATGACTCTGAACTGCCCAATGAGCCTCGAGCCTGGAAAGCCACAACTAGATCTGGCGAGTTTCAACCAGTCACCTGGGTTGCTGCAAATCATGTGTCTGAAAAGCGCTGCATGGAGCCCCTTCACAAGTAACGGGGAGGGAGCGCGTCCGATCGTACCTGGAGCCAATTGAAAAAAAAAAAAATAGATCTCGCGAGCCCAAAAGAAGGTGCGTGCCGGCATTTCGCCAGGCTCGATGCCGTTCTGACCTGGAGCATTTCGCATTGTCCAATGTTCAAGCAGACGGTACAGTGACTGGCGCATCATCTCGGTTCACTGCTATGTCTGACTTTGTGTCATCCAGGCCATCTACATTCCAGCAGTGTCTTGATCGAAAGAGCAGCTTGAAGGGGGATGTTGAAGGCTAGCGTTGTAGCCATGTGGAGAGAGAACTGACAAGCAGGGGGGCAGTCAGGGATCAGCGGTTTAGGATGGGTCTTCCTGTACGGCAGACATGTTTCCATTGTCGCCGCATGGACGCCTATTGAGAGCAATGATTGGTCGGAAGCAGGGTCTAAACCATGGCCATCCCAGGGAGCCAAGATCTTATCATGGCACAAGATACAAACGACAGATGCTTGCTAGGTTTGCAACGACTATAATGAGGCTGAGACTGAATGACCAGGGGAATTTGCCCATTAATTTTGATAGAGAAGTCGCAAATCGAGCAGTTCCCTTCATTGATTTGTCCGCAATGCGGTGATATCTTGTTCTGAGTGCTGTGAGACAGTAAGGGAGACAATAATCAGGTCGTGGGCTGAGGGCTTGGTCTGTTCCACAACCTTAAGACAGCGTCACGGCAGAGTGGAGCGAGGTGTATTGACAATCTGGAGTTCCAACGATTCTTTTGGATGTCATCTTGATAAGGCTTCCTCGACTAGCTCGCAAAGGTGCATAATTGCGGAAATGGTTAGAGAAAGCCGAGTGTGGTATCCATGGAAGGAAACGAGCGCGCAAAACGCGACAATCCCTATCCAGGACACGACAAAAGGCGAGGTCCGAGACATCATGCGGCAATGAATTGGATCTGAGTCTGCGATTCAGCGCTTTGTGATTCGACGGACGCAATTGACGCGCCTACAGTAGGTCCGCCCGTTGAACGATGCCAGGGTCTAAAATTGAAGCCCCTGCTTCTCTCTGTCTGTCTGTCAGGGTCTAGAATTCGGTCGCAGACTCAGGTGGGTTGGTAAACACGTCACGACGCCGAGGAAGCGCGCGGGTGTGAAGGTAGGATTGATGAGCCCAATTGACATGGTGACGATAGTTTCTTTTTTGAAGTTGCCTGGTCGGCGATGGTGTGAAATGACTTGTACTGTCCCACGCATGGGAGTCTGGGATGCATGCACTACCTACGTCAGCTTGAGCTGAAGGCAGGTAGCGAGAGCTGCAGGTTGCATGAACATTGCACGTTCATCCCGCACGAACTGAGTAAGGGGATGTATCGTTAATCTTGGCCAACTCATCGCTAGCAAAAGGCGGCAGCTGCCCGAGGCGGAGGAAATGTGCCGCAACCACAGCAGAGATGTTGATCGACGCACGGCGCGGATTAGGGCCAGGTTCCGGGCCGGACTTCAGTCGTTCATCAAAGAAGGTAGATGGAGTAGATCTTTCGGGTGGCTGTGATGAGCATATGCATGCGAATGCGGATATGTGATGTGATGTGATACGTATGATGTGCTGTATGCGGGTGTAAGTAAGTGGGTGTCGCTGGTGTGCCTGCGGTAACTTGCAGGTGGATAACTCGACATTCTGTTTTGTTATTGTTGTTGTCGGGTGAATGGTGATATTGACGTTGGGCTGTCGTGTTTTTCTTCTCTTGTTGATCTGTAAAGGCGAGAGCGGTGAAGACAAGACACAGACCAACAGAGGCAGGCCAAGTTAATGGTCCCAAAAGTGGCCAGGTGGGAACTCTCGCGAAGGCGGCAGGTACTACTGATGCATTGAGGTATACCATATGTACGGAGGGCAAAATGGAAGTAGGAATAGGGCATTAAGAAGAATGGTGGAAATCACCACTAGGCTACAGGTTAGGTACCTTAGGCAGGTCAATCCTAACAGACTCAGCAGCGACTTCTGTAGATCATATATGTAAGTATTAGGGTACGTGTAAGTATGTGTTGCCTGACGAATTGGACATATATCTGGTAGATCGAGCCTGTTTCTGTGTAGGATTTGTGCAGTATGGTTTCTCCCTGTGCCATCAACTCAAATGCTTGCTTCCTTGGGTCTCTTATTCGTGTTTTTGAATTCATGGTTCCTGAAAACCCTTGACGGATGATTGGACCCCAAAAAACCCACGAATATTGAAATGGGCGAAGCGGATTTCCAAGTCTCAACAATATCATCACCTGCAACAGTAAGCGACACTGTTCACAAAGCCTGGGTAAAATCCTAAGAACCAATTTATCTTATTAAATTCTTAATTTATATTTTAATCATCTTGGAGTTATTCTCAAGTTACCGGATTGCATCTGCTCTTTGTTTCCTCGAGAGACTTGTGAACAGGCTAACTAATAGAGGGTGTTATCCATGCGCCTTCTATTAGGCTCCCGCCGTTAGTGCAGCTCGATAAACGCTTGCGCTTAGCCTCCACGCAGGCTAACCCAATACGTCCTTCAGTCTCCGCTACGATGGACTTCCCCTCAACTCCAAGTTTCATGTCGAACTTTACGTTGTCTCGTCACTTAAACATTCACATCATCTATCATACCTTCTCAAAGTGACAGCTGCATACTATATCCGCTATATGATACAATAATTATTCCAATTCGAGCGTAGTATCATCGAAGTTTATAGCCCGAGGCTCACCTACCGGCTGAACTGTTCACCCTTCTTAGCGCCCTACGCGTCATCAGTCAATACTCTAGCCTCAACATTGAAACCGTCGCCTTCTACGGACGGCGTAGCTCCAACACATCGAGCCCCTCCATCTCGGATGCTTAATAGCTTCGACGACAACAAAATCTTGCCGGCCCCGCCGCCCTTTCTACCTAAATTACTGTTTCCTTTCTCGATATTGTGGTTACAACCGACTGACCAGACCGGCCGCATCAGCGACCGCATTTCTACGCGCTGTGTTTATCCCTCGTCGTGTTTTGCCTCATCGCCACTCTGGATTATCCACCGGGTTCTCCGTCTTCGTCTTGTTTGTGCGGAAGCCCATCACCCACCACATTGTCTGTCGGAATCACACGCAGCAACACTGCTAGGTCTTTGGAGCCTCAACCTAGCTGTACATGTGACGATCACTCAACACTTGCTTGACACCTATGTCCTCTCGCCTCTTGCTTGCGTTCTGCCGTCTTGCCGGACCTTCGCGGACTTCGGGCCTGCTGGGTTGACGCATTATACCAATACCCCCATCCTCACACCCTTTCGCGGTGCCCTTGGTTGCAAATAGCGCCGAGGGTAATTACTTAGATCGTCATGAAGCCTGTTGCCACATCGCCTGAACAGCTCACCTCACAGGTACATCGGCTGTCGTTCGCTTCACCCCGTCTTGAGAACCCTGGCTGTTTAGCTCCAGGCGAGGATGTCAAAAGATCAAACCCTGCGATGTTCGTGACCACTGATGCCCGATCTGCAACCAGTCCGATAGCCCCCAGCGTCCCGCAAGAGGTAGTCTGCCTGACCTTTGCGGCTGGTGACGTTTGCCCAGCCTCATCGCTTAGGACAGGCGCTATCCGTTGTATCGGACTGCAATGTGCCCTCGCTCATTCTCCCTCCCTCGAGGACCTGCCAAACGAGGTTTTGTTTCACATTATGGGTTTCCTGGACGTCAACGACCTTCTGTCAACGTCGAGAGTAAGTATCGACTACCTACCGTTAGCAAGAATAAAGTCTACTTTCCTATTGACATTCTGGGATCATCCGCGAGACCTTGTTGGATTGGTTCTGATAGCTCGACGCCTTGGGAACCCAGACTGATACAGAGTTAGACAAGCCATCTCCTTCGCGATATTTCTCAAGCCCCTATTTTACACCATTATCGGCTTCAGCGAGCCCGGGTTAACCTTCCATCACGCCTATCGTCACCATCTCGTCCAACACTGGCTGATCTCATTGCTCGTTCAATCTTCATGACACATACTTCCATAGTTTCACGAAAGTTAGCCCGATCCTTGGTCTCAATCCGACTCTCTCGCCGCTTGGCAGCTAGGCCCTCAGCCGCGGCTCTGGTTGAGCGTTCTGTTCTACCCAAAGAGTGCGTGCCTGGTATGGCGTCAGTGCATGTGGCACCAGCAATTGTTGCCAAGAAGAAGGCAATCGAGAAAGAGAGAGTCAAGGACGGGTTGCGACAGTGGATTGCATCCAGGTGGAAGCGTGAAGTCAAAGAGCGCCAAGATGGCGTGAGAAGATGGGAGGAGAGCCGCGGTATAGGACGCGTGTGGCGCCTCCGTAGGTTTTGGGAAAGAGTTAGTCGTGGCGAGGAGACACAGTTCTTGGTAAGTCAGTGATATCAACTTCTATGAGGTGAATCGTTGTAGGGAAGCGTGTGCAATTATGCTTGAAGGACCACTATAGTTCGGTTCTGTATTGGTCACAGTTCTGGCAGGGAGACGTCAGCGGTAGTAGTGGCTCTCGTACCATCGGCAGGATTGCTTGTATGATACATTATGTACGCTGTGGTGATGTTACAAAATCGACGAACTCCGTTATGAGTACTAGGCCATGTGAAGGCGATCGGTGAGCCCTTCAAGAGCGGTATCTTTCTATCATGCATGGCTATGCACAAAGTCCCTGGGTTCAGGCTGTCCGAAACCTAAAGCCGTCCCAATCATCATCTTCTTCGTCGTCCTCATCATCGTCGTCCTCGTCCTTCTCTTCAATAGCTGGCGTGTCTAGATTCTCTTTGCCCAAGCTCGTAGGTTTCTCAGCGCCATTTTCTTGGCTGAAACTTTCACCACGTTTCCGTAGGGCTTCTCTTTTGTCCTTCAACCGCCTCACGCGAGCTTCGAGCTCTTCCATTTCTTCGAACTCCTCCTCAAGCGCACGGGTTGCTTCCTCTTTTTCGTCTTCGAGATCGACATCAGCTTGAGCGCGTCGCTTCTCGGCCTCCTCCTCCTTCTGGGCATCGGCAGCCGCAACTTCCTCTGCCGTCATGGCTGGGGCTGATATAGTCGCGTCTTCATCGTATGTGGCTGTTGTAGCAGCAATGTCGGCCTCGAAGGCTGCCCATTCTGCTTCATCAACTGCTGCTGCCGCCGCCGCAGATGCAAGGCGTTCGTCTGTGGTCAGACTGCTGGCCTGGCGTGAGGGGAGCGATGCAGTTGCAGATTGTGAGGTCAAGTTATTAAGTTGACCTCCAGGGGTAGAAGCGGATGAACCATCTCGATGGGCTGGTGTTGCTGGTCTCGATGGGATATGGATCTCTACCCCTTGTGACGGTGTAGTCGACGTCCTTCGAGTCAACCGAGGAGGTGTCAAAGTCTGATCCTTATTATCCTTATATCCATCTCCATCCACTCCATCCGTCTTATTTCGTTTCCGTCTGCCACTATCCATTTCGACATCTCCGTCTTTATCGTCGATGGCTTCCTCGTTGTCGTCGTGTTTCCGTTTTTGTGAGGTCTGTTGTTGTGAAGTTCGAGCGTTGGCCGATGCTGCTGTTTGAGCTTTTATTAAACGAGTTTTGTGTGCCTCTCCTCGGACATGTGAGTCCCATAACGACTCGGTTTTGATGTGCTCGTGGCAGAGGGTGCAAAGAAGTTTGCCTGCATCAGAATAGGCGGCATATGGGTGTTCGATACGGCGAGCGGCGCGCTGTTGCCGCAAAAGAGAGCGTACGTCGGACATGGAAGTAGATGAAGATAAAGAACCGTAATGCGTGACGTTAAAGGAATGTGGTAGGGGAATATTACCACAGGAGAACAAGGTGTTGAAGTATATGCGATGGTTGTAATTCAAGAATCCAATTGGGCTCAGGAAATCAAGAGAAGCTGCTTCATGAGGAATAGGGTTGGAGAGCAAAGACTGATGTCAGAAAAGAAGAGAAAGAAAGCGAAATGCTTATGACGTTGGATGTTAGAGATTCAAGGTTGTCAAGAGGGTAACAAAGAGGTGCGAGATGAGCAACCGCCGACAATTAACCGGCGCAAACTGATCTTCACTTGATTCCACTTGGAGGGTCTAACTTTATCTAATCTCGTCATTAACTGTTTGCGGTAATCATCTTTGGCAGTTACACGGCACGACTCTAAATATTAATATCCCTCTCAAATCAGTGAGACTTGCTGCGCTCATACATCCATATTTACCCAGGGTAGCCAAGCTCCCAAAAGCTTTGACCGCAGTTGCATCCACGTGGATTCCAACCATCCCACCAGAGTCTCACTCCCCCACCAGGAAACTTCCACTTCAAGAGACCGCATACCATCCTTGTCTTGCTCTGTCTTTTGAGCCGCATTCTTGACGCGGCGTCTTGTTTTCCACTCATACAACTGCATTCGAAACTACTTTATGAGGTGATCTCACTACAAGGGCTGGAAGATGGCCGAACAACAGCAAGAGGGGCACTCGCTCTCATCCATGTTCCCCAATCCGCCTCCCTTTTGGCAAGACTTTACACCAGATAAAATCTCTCGAATTCAAGAACTCAGGGCTTCGTATATCGCGGAGCATGGTGGCGACCCTTTGACAGTTCGCGTGCCTGATCTTCCTGAAGATCTCGTCAATCTGCAACCTCCGGCCGAACCAGCCGATGGACGCTGGCGTGTATTTGGCGATCAGTACATGGTAAGTTAAACGACTGCGATTCTGCTTATATAAGATCGTTGGTTAAGTGAGGATTTAGCTGGACGACAAGCTTCCAACTCTGGAAGACCAGGGGATCACCAATCTTCCTTCATCAACACAGTCCGAGTCCAAGGATGCCAAGCGCTTTGATCGCGCCTTTGAGCTTAAACGGCTAGCTAAATCTCTTCTTTTAAACTTCCTTGAGCTCTCTGGAACATTATCACATAATCCATCGCACGCCGAAGCAAAAGTGCAAGACTTGCGCACACTCTTCATCAACTTTCATCACATCCTTAACGAGTACCGGCCACATCAAGCACGCGAATCAGTCATTGCTCTCATGCAAGAGCACCTGGACCGCACGCGGGCTGAGACCATGGCCATACGGATACAGGTAGACAAGGCACGCCGCGTCCTCGATGGCTTGGGCAGCCTAAGCGTACCCGATGTGCCCAAGGCTTTAGGGCAGAACACCGAGGAGGAAGACTGGGAGGCTTTGGCAAAACAAAGAGAAGCAGACGTGTGGGCTGCCACAGATGCCTTATTTACTTGAGGGTGGATGTTGGAACAAACATGGGATATTGTCCACACCGCCAGATTATAATCAAGGGAGTTGCAAAGATCAACTTCCCAACAAACGAGACAGTCATCCCACATTGGGCAGCTATTTCTCATATCATGTTCTCAGAAATTAGTCCCGAAGGATGATCGCAGCTGGAGTTTTGGAGCAAGGCGAATTTTATCACAAAACCTTAGATGATGGGCATCTTGGAGAAGTTACAAAAAAGAAGATCCACACAGCTAAGGTCAAGGTATATGCGATATGGAGCGAACCTCAACATGCATACACATAGAAGTGCACATGCATCAAGCTAGGCTTTCGGTTGCCATAAAGCGGTCATAAAATTCGTCTGAGTCGTTGATCCAATATACACTCTCCAGCTGCGCTATGTTTCCCAGCAGCATCGCAACGCACAAAGAACTATAAAACCTCAATTCTCAAACAATAAACACCCGGCATTGTTGCCTCGCAACGCATATCGTTATTCGACCCCCTTACAGAATGGTGCAGGGGATACAGCAGCATTCGTAGTCACCACACTCAATACACTTGGTTTTGGTACCCGTGGCCTCGGAAGGCTTGATGATGGACTCGGCGATCGAAGTGGCAGCGCTGCCGGGACCGCTGCGGTCGTAGAGACACTTAGAGGAACCGCAAGCCATTTTGGAGATTGTTTGGAATTGATACGGGGAGAGTTTAGGGTGATCTGCAGTTTAGCTGGGTTAGCGACAGTTCATCTTGGACCTCCATAAGTTGATGCGTGGGAATAGAGAAGAAGAGTATGTTTGGTTTGACTTACCGATGCGATAATGAAGCCAGTGAGATTGGGGGTTTGGAAGAATGAAGTTCCAGGTTACAAGTTGCAGTAGGAGTTGGAATTGAATTTCAAGCTTGGGCTGTAGCTTGGACCATGCCGACCTATTTTGGGCTACAGCTGTAACATGATTGCGTCACCCATTGGTTTAAAGGGTGGGGTGGATTGTTGATCAACGTGTAGACCCTGGATTTGATCCCTTCCTCTTGGCAATCACCTTGAACTCAGCCTCTCTTGAGCCACTGGCAATGATGAAGCGTTGATAGAGGATGTCTTCCGAATATCCTTCCAGAGATTATTAGCCTGCTTCTCTCTTCGGAGCTGAACTCTGAGGGCGGCTACTGTGATGGCGACGACTCATGTCGTGGCATATCAAGTTGGTTGACAGAAGAAGAACGAAACCAATATGTGGCCGAAGAAATAGCTAAGGAACAAGAAAGTCTCTCAAATGTAGAGATACGTTGAGAAATGATACCTTGTCGCAGAGTTAGTACTTGACATATTTGCCTGAGCCAGATGGAAGACTCCCTTTCTTCAACAAACTCCAAAGCAGGCATGAGTACTACCTATCGAGTGGCTTATCGTGTCTAGGAAGATCGAAATTACAACTTGCTTAGATACCACGGGCGTCGAGCCTTCAAAAGTCGGGTGCGAATAATGCAATGCTGTCTCCTGTGTTTGTTGCTGAGATTGATGTCATAGACACCACGGTGACGATTCTCTGATAGCATACGCACTCGACTTCTTTATAAGTTGATAACAAATGCCCCTAAAGAAGTCTCAATCTCCACGCGACCCTTGAGTTTACCTATACCTACTGCGAGAAAGCATTTTCACCGTCTCCGCAAACATGCAGCCTCCAAGTGATATTTCGCCTTCTCAGACAGAGCAAGAGCAGGTAAGTATCCAACCATGAATCCGCAACTGATACTAATAAATTTGATGATAGAGCAATCTTGATCTCTGCAAAGAATATATGCGAATAGCTTATTCTCCCACCGAAAACAAAGGCGCTTCATCGGTTCAACACCTCTGCCACCCAGACAGTTGGGTCTGGGCACCCGCCACATTTCCCAACCGACCTACCTGACTTGCTGTCGCTTTTGCTTCTCCTTTTCATCGTGCTGTGCTATGGCACGATGAGGTGATACCGCATTCAGGAGTGCTATTACGCGTCCTTTAGGCTCATCTTTGGTTAGAGTTAGGTGTAACATACTTTCAGTTTTGTGGCTGCTAATAGGTACACATTGCTTTAGTTCATCTGAAGCGCTCCCCGCGCCTTCACTGAGCATGATGGCTTCGCAGAGATCTTGGGGTTCCAACTTTCAGGACTTCAGAGTCTGGGAAGGCAAGAAACGCTCAGTAACACGCGCCGCAGCTAGTTCTCAGAAGAGGGAGAGAACAACCCCAAAAGCTCTACCCACGCTCGCACTAGAGCTTGACAAGCTCCACAATTTCGTTGAGGATGTGATGGCAGAAGAAGAGATCAAGAACCCAGATACCTCTTTCTTTACAGAGGACCCTCGCCAGGACACAGACGACGACCTAGGCGAACAAGATCTGGAGACTTTCAGTGACTTCGACGACGTAGATTCTGAAGTTTCAGATTCTGAGAGCGTCAACGACAACGAAGACGATGGCATGCTAGGCTACCTTCAAATGGGCCCCGAAGTCATCGACACGTTGATTGCTGGGGTGAAATGCGCCCACAATTCTGAAGCTGAAGAACACGACTGTAGGTTTATACATGTGAACTCTCTGTTCCTTGATCTGAAACTATTAACACATAACTGACATTGCAGTGCCTGACGACATGCCTGAGGCTATAGCAGAAAATATCAGACGACATGACTCCTAGTACATAGCCATTGTCGACTGTATTTTTAATGCAGCGCTCAAGTACGACGCAAACAACTACGAACAGTCTCCATTTTGTTGGCATATGTTACAATGGTGCCAAGACAGTCACCATCTGCGCACTCCTTTAGTAGAGTTTCTGCTGCATCCACTGGTCAGATCCTGTCGATGCCGGAATGCCGTGGGACAACAGCCGACCTCTCACGAGGATAATCTTTCCGGACTGGAGTACTTCCCGTTAAGTGAGAACTTGAAGGCTGTGCCTAACGTGGTGGGCACATACCTTTTGCATGGAATTCGCGCTTTCTGTCAAGATTCAGCCAAGGATCCCCGCTACGTTGGACAAGCCGCGAATATGTCAATCACTGACTCAGGTGCTGTTGGTATCCGTCTTCGAGGAGGGCAGCACCGCACCTCGGTCAAGACATGCAAATGCGGCCTCAAGAGTGCGAAGCGACCATTGCGTGTCCACATCCGACTTGCAAAATCTGACATCACTGGGCTAGAGATAGCAGTGCTCTCTTTCTTTCCGTTCCCGCTTCCGCAGTTAGGCGAGGATACACTGCTTCACTTCTTGTCTATCCTCACCCTCGCTGAGGCTATTGATGTGATCCTTCTCGACACTCTGAGCCCATTAGAGCACCACGAAAACCGCTCACGTGTAGGATCCAAAGAAGGTTTAGCAGCACTGAAGCTACGGAATGTGCCTCGAAGACTTCATGAAGGGCTGAACCGAGCAAAGCAGAAGATTGAAAGGGGTTTCGTACAGCGCTTGCTGGTCTCCTTTAGAGGTAGCGGTCTTCATTCAGACTGTTAAAGAACACGAAAATACTGTGTATGTACACGGGGTAAAAGGTACCACTTGCGTCCAGTACGACTTCCTAGTGTCACAATTGCGGCTCAGTGGACTGCACGAAACCAGGGCTGAAGTGGTGACTCCGTACCAGGCGCTTGCTGAGAATCCAAACTCGGGCTTCATTTCAAGGCAATCCAGCCGATGGAGAAGCATATGGGCTCAAGTCTCCGGGGTAAAGCAACACCTAGAGAAGCTTAACCTAGTCACGCGCCCTATAGATTCAAACGATCTGTTCTACCATATCCCACGACTCGAGAACGGTCACAAAACCTCGCATCATTTTCTCGAACTTTTGAGAATAATTGGATGTGCCAATTATAGGCATCCTCAAGTTCGCTCAAAGTTCTGGACAGTGTACCTTCCTCGATTGCTCCATCGCGACGTCTGGGAGAAGACAACAGGTAAGCTGATCAATTCTCCCTTGCATTCTCAAGGTTATAAGTTAAGCAGAATTAGAAAACCTGCCTGAGCGCTTAGCAGCGAAGCTAGCAAACTCACTGAAGAACATTTATCAGCGATCCCTTGCGGTTGTTCTTCATTTCGCACGACTGAATGCCCTTGAGCATTACCACTCGACTTTGACCTCAGAATTTGCGCGCGTTCCGATTTTCAAGTGTTCTGATCTAGTTCAGATATGATCAAGCATCAACTCAGTTGATAGCTGACGGCGTACCTCGCGACTTGATCTTTCCTGGCGGGGCGATACGGATTATGGTGCTATCAAACAACCATGGAAACAAGATCGTGGACCCCTGTCACTCCGAGCACTTGCCACAGTGGACATATACGCGGTCAAGCCAAGACTCTCTCAGGAGGATTCTCAGACAGAAACATTGACCAGTTCTCTGCATTCTCGGGACAGCTCTAATTCGCCAAGCAACGAAAGCCTAGATATCCAGAGCTCACAGGAGATCCCCCTTGATGAGTATGAGTGGCCATCAGAAGCGAGCCGATACAAGACCGTTGCTGCCAGTCACGAATTGCTGGCTCTCACAGCTCCGAATGAGGCGAAGCAGACCCCCCGTGTCATCAAGGTTGGTGCTACTAATATATCGCCTTGTGGAATGGCCCAATACCGCGCGTCAACGCTCCGCGTCTTGATAAGACTGATGCGTCACCACCATGAGAGTCAGTACGACAGTCTTGCTAGCTCTTATTCCGGGGATCATTCGTTTTGGTCAGTGCTCTTCATTGGTCTTGACAGTCATAGGTTTATTAAGATACCTTTTCTCGGTCGCGGAATGTAGTTATCAGCGATAGTGTATTAGTTCTTCGGTAACAAAGATTTATCTCAGCCAAGGCATTAGCATTGGTTCAATTATTATCTCCTGAGAGACCTTGATTGAAGTGAGCGGCATCGATCTATACGATACCAGAAGTCAAACTGACTATGCCAGGTTGACATCCCCTTCCGAGCTACCTCTCCCTTTGTTATTCTCCCAATGTAGTCCTAATAGCACCTCGCATCGATCATTTGCGCCCGATCATAGCGGCACAGCCAGGCCCAGAAGGCATAAATCGATACTAGCCCGCGATGAAACGATGATACTCACACACAGGATGCATCACAACCCACGGCGCGTGCACGGAAAGAGGCACGTTCCCAAGTAGCTATCAGTTAAAATCTAAGGCATGGCCTACCTGTGAGGAATCCAAGTCTATTCTCCAAATGCGCACTCTTCTTCGGGTCACCGAATGGCTTCGGCAGCCAACACTCCTTGCGCACGATCCAAGTCAAGCCTCGGGTGCCTCCTCTATCTCGCGTAATCAGGCGCGCTGGATCATGGCCTCACGGTCAGGACCGGTGCCGATGTACTTGATCTGCTCAACTTTAGCAATTGCGGTGCAGGTCAGTATGCGTGTCCACCTACCTTGACTCCGACAAACTTCTCGATGTACTGCTGGTGGTCAGTGCCACTGTTCGTTATGCTAGCCCAGATAAATATGCTCACCTCAACGTAATCGCGGGCCGCCTTGGGGAGATCGTAGTAGGTCCTCGCGTTGGTGGTCGGCTTTTGCCAGCCTGGCATCTCGTGGTAAACCACCTCAGCTCGGTTCAGGATGTCAAGATCCGCAGGGTAAGAGTCCAGTTCCTGTCCAAACGGTTAGCGTCTCCACAATCTATCATGATCTCGTTGGCATTACTGACCTCTCCGTCGATCTTGTAAGCGATGGCGATCTTGATCGTTTCGAAAGTATCCAAAACGTCGAGCTGCAGAGTGTTAGAGCGTTTTGACGCGTGTCACAAGCATGCCACGGGCACTGTCTACCTTTGTGAGATTCAGGCTGGTGTAGTAATTGATCGAGTTACTGTACTTGACAACAACAAGGTCTGTGTGTGCTTGTCAGTTGTGTTCCCTACTACTCAAGGTTTGAGGTTGTGTCTACCGAGCCTGAGAACGGTCAGTAAGTTTATCAGCAGCTAAGAGCCATGATGAAACCTCACCATCCACATCGGCGTCTGCGGCCAGTCGACGTTCCCTAAGTCTTGTCAGCGGTAGAACCTCGAAACCTCCAGGGCGCTTGTGGCCTCACCCATTCGCGTCCAATCTCCTGGAGCTTGGTGCCAATCCTAAGGTTATCATTCAGCTTCAGAGTAGCTTCAAGATGGTAATTAAGACGCACTCTTCGGTATCTTCGGTCTTGAAGGCCCCCGCCCCGACACGGGTGGTATCTGTTACCAGTCAGCAGTAAATAACGGCCTTGGAGCAATCGACATACAAGCCTTGACCACTCCAACCGTCTCTGTGATATTCTTTGGGTTCAGTGTAAGTCCACCAATAATACCAGCAAGCGTAGTACTTGAGGAAGTGACGAACTGTAGTTAATCATGAGTACTAGTGCAAACCACAAGGTCAAGTTGACGGAAACTTACTGGGTAAGAGCCATAATCAACATCTAGCATCAGTGCCTGTTCAATTGGGAACAAGCACAAGCGCCAGGTCCCAGGACCCCTTTCCTTCACAGGAGACTTAACTGATGCCGATCTACCAGCATCACACGTGGCGCAGAGGTTTGACGTGAAAATGAAGCCCCGGAATCATCTCAAGACAGGCTTTCTGAGCACAGCTTGGCTCTAACCTCGAGACGCCATAACTGGGTCTGCTCCAAGTTGAATCCAGGGCGCAATCCTCACATTGAATTGTCATTAACTCCACTGACCACGCTCGATAGCCAACAAGTAGATGAGCAGAAGCCAGGTCTCCGTATGGCTCCCGAATTCTGCCGAGGCGCGAACATAATACACAGCTTGTTACAACGCAGACCCCTTGTTGGGTTCCGCCAGCAAAGTGATTGCTCAGACGAGCACTATGTCCCGCCCCGAGCTAAGAATCTTGCGGGACTAGGAAAGAGGACTGTGAGACCACGGGCACGGTGCTCGTTCCACCAATGCGTCAGTACTATTCGTTTAGTCATAGGATGAGAACCTTACGTTTGCGCCTTCGATCACAATTTTCGTGTTGCTCTGCTGTGCGGATCTCATGAAGGCCACGCCGTCCACGACGTACTTCTTCAGCGTCTTCCTGTACTCGTCGAAACGAGCAAGCTCGGCCTCGATGTCGTATTCGAGCAGTTCTCCGAAGCGCTTTTGATAGCCATCGGCTAAGCGCCTCACCTTCTGCTCGAAAATGTCAGGGTGGAAGACGTCGGTCATTTTGATGCCAGTTCGCTGGGAAAGTTAACGCACAGTCCGCTCCCTTGTCATGACTATCTCTTACCGCTCTGCTTGTCTGATAGCAGGGACCAATGCCTATGGCGGACGTTAGACTTTGTTGATTAAATAGCGTCGCTAGCACGACAATGACTGAGATTCTCCCCGCCATTGAGATTTGGCAATGCTTGCAATGAGGTGACAAAAGCAGAAAAGGATAATCCGGCATGGAGTCCTGGGGGTAGCGTACCGCGTCTTGTTGTTCCGATAGCTGCGTCTGGGGTAGACTTTAGCTGCTATTTCTCAACGACAATGTCGGAAACTATGGGACGAACCTCCAAGTTCCCTCTCCTCGAGACCATCCACTGCGATGTGCAGATCCAAGAGAACATTGACCCTGTCAGAAACAAGGATCCGATCATGTACCGCGGTCAGGTTTTCCTCGAGCGCCTGGAGCTCGCTAAAGAAACTTGGGCTAGAGGGCAGAGTCAGTATTCTTGGCATATTCGGTTGAAAAGCGCGAGCCAAGCGAGACATCAACAAGATGCTGATGTGGTAGTCGAGTTAGGGGTGGAGGGCCATATGAAGACTAACACGTGGAAGACTACGCCCGAACCAATGAAGTTCATGCTATGGTACTTGTCAGCCTCGCTGTTGCCAGCTTGAACAATCATTATCCTCGACAAACCATTTTGGGTTGATCAGCCCAGAGGGTAGGAGGTGAAAGCTGCCTCTATGTTAGCAACCATCCAGTCCTTCCACGTGTGCTGGTTCTCACCTATACGAAACTCCGTTTACACTTTGCACATATTAGCAACACAATATATATGTATATATCGATCGATAGAAAGCGTTCGACTAACCGCACGAGATGCCCAGCGTTAGCTCCACCCTTGACGTTGATTAGCAGGTATTTCAGCGGATATTTTTGGGATCGGTGGAAGCCGTTGGTCGACCGGATTCTGCCTGCGTTGTGCTTACCGCGGCTCGGGCACAGAGTTGCGCCTCCTGGCACTGTCCATCAACCAACTTGCCCTTCTGAGTACGCAGTATCGTTAGTGCCCGGGTTTCATCTGCTGTGTTGGGTTCTCCCCGAGTACTCACGCCTTCGTCGCCTGTGGAAGTCCTGGTTAGTATAATGAGATCGAACCGATATCGGCTGGGTACGGAGGAAGGACATATTCCAGTTAAGGGAGAGAAACATACCCCATTGGGCTCCAAGAATGACAGTGATAGACATGTTGCGCAGAACCAAATTTGACTGTCGTAGGTGCCGTCGTTGTGTCTGTAGAGAAGAAGAGAGACACGATCCGGACATAGTGACGAGGTTTTACAAGTGCGTCAGAGCAGCCACGTGATTTGGCGGGGTACTTACACTATGCCCCTCCATCGCACCCCCCTGGCTAAGACAACTCGAACCTAGATGATAAGCTTTGTGTAAGGCATATTTGAATCTGCATTGACTTTTCTGTATAAGGTACCAACTATACTGTGCCTTTGAGTTCGTACGCAACCCCAGACGTCTACGCTCTATATACACATTTCGCAGCACCAAACCTGACCAGATTGACGCCCATGGACTTGATTCGAGGGATGCTTGACGTTACTGATATTCCAGCTATGAAGTAGGAGTACGGCACGGTCTTAAGACCGAGGAAGCTTAGTTCTGTAGGTAGTAGAGAACTACTGCTTTAAAGGCTGGTTTTTACGTGGAGGGGAGTATGCTAATAAGTCCCTGAGCCGGGAGGGGCGGAGAGGAAGAAATGAGGAGCGCGGGCTACCGGGGCGTGCGATACGGCACCCGGGGAACGGTATGCCAGAACGGAGCGTAATGGTCTCCACTTTTACCGAACTGTCATTGACCGCCGACATCGGCTGGTTCCTATGACTTGTGTTAAACCGCCGGGTGCCAATTAGCAGGGCATTTTGGTCAAAGGAGCTGCTTTTCTTAAAATAGAAGAGTTATATAATAATTTATCCATTTTTTTAGAAATTAGCTAGATTATATTAAAAAGGCTTTAAATAAATAATTTAATTAATAATTTAATAATTTAATAATTAAAAGTCTTAAATTATATTTTTAAAAAAATAATAATAATTATAAGAAATAAATTATTATTTAAATAAATAACTTTTAATTAAAATAGTATTAATTATAAGTATAAAGACTTATTTCCTTAATAAACTTAATAATTAAGACTTTTTTAAATAGTTTTATATTATAAAGATATTTATTAAAAACATTTATAAGTTTAAAAAAAATTATAAATTTAAAGTCTTTTATTTATATTAATAATATATTAATATTATAGCTAATTTACTTATTTAATTATATAGCCTATTTTATAATTTATTTAATTTTCTTTTTATTATTACTTATAAATTTATAACTTTAAGTTTTTAATTTTAAGTAACTTAAACTTATATAAAACTTAATATATTTTTCCTTTAAACCCTGTAATTACCTTACTTCTATCCTAGTTATGCTCTTATAGTTTAAAATTATAACTAGCCTAATTTATATATTAAAAGTTTTTAGTTTTTTTAATACCTCCTTAGCCTATTACTAAATATCCTTAAGCTACTTATTATATAAACTATCTAGGTTAAAGGCCTTAAAAAAAACCCTCTTTCTCTTACTTAATTATACCTTTTTATTTTTATTTTTATTTTTTTTCCCTTACTTTTAGCCTTATATATTTTTTTTTCTTTTACTTTTAATCTTATAAGAGGCTATCTAGCTTTTTAGCTTTTTTATTAATAATATAAATAAAAAGACCTCTATATCAGGCTATTATAATAAAAGTTAATATTAATAAGGTTTATTTACCTTAATAATGCAATTACTGCTTTAATTAAATAATATAAATACTAGTTACTTCTTAGTAGCTAGATTAACCTTCTTTCTTTAACCTACTTAAAGGAATACTATATCTAATTTATTTATTATATTTTTAAAATATATTACCTAATCTAACTTTTCTTTTATTAGTTATACTTATTAATATTAATTATAGCTATTATTATAATACTTTATAATAGTTTATAGCCTAATTAGGGCTATTATATAATTAATTATAATCTTATTAATATAATTAAATTAGCCTTAAAGTAAGCTATAAGAAGAGATTATTATATATTATATATAATAGTTATAACTATTAAATAGAACTTCTTATTAAAGGGGAAATCTAACTTAATTAAGATAATTATTTTTAATTATAGCCTAATTAAGTTAATTAATTATATAGATTTAAGTTATTTAGGAGATATAATATCTCTAGCCTAAATTAACTAAAAGCTATTTAAATAAAAGAAGCTAGAAAAAGCCTTAAGATATAACTAGCCTTTAATAGTAAAAGAGGTAGCTTTCCTTACTGCCTTTATAAGCCTAAACTTAGCCTAATATAAAGAGTAGCTTATTAATATAATTATAAAGGTAGAATAGGTACTCTATATCCTCCCTATTATATATAAAAGACTAGGCTAGTTATAGTTTTAGACTTTAAGAGCGTAGCTAGGGGAGTCTATATATAGAGTTTTAGGATAAATACAGGGTAAAGGCAGGGTTTAGAAATTTTATTAAAGTTAGAATATACTAAAGGAATTATATTAAGTTTTATATAAGTTAATTAGTAAAAGTTAAATTAAACTTAATTAATTAAATATATATAATAAGGTATATAATTAATTAATATTATATATAAAAGTAAATAAAGTAAAATTAGTAAAAAAGCAGTAGTTTAAACTAGGGTTAGCCTTATATAAGGCTATTAAGCTTTTTAGCTTTTTTATTAATAATTTAAATAATAAGACCTTTATAATAGGCTATTATTATAAAAATTAAAATTAAATAAGGTTTATTTACCTTAATAATATAATTATTACCTTAATTAAGTAATATTAATATTAATTATATCTTAGTAATTAAATTAACCTTTTTCTTTTAACTTATTTAAAGGAATATTATAGTTAATTTATTTATTATAAAGTATATTATTTAACCTAACCTTTTAACCCTTCTTATTAATAATATAATAACTATATTACCTTAATACCTAATATATAAAATAATTTATAACTATATAATTATACTTATTATATAAATAATTATAATCTTAATCTAGCTATTAGGCCTGCCTTAAAGGCAGCTAATAAAAAAGAACTTTATATAATATATATAATAATTATTATTATTATAAAGAACTTCTTATTAAGAGGTAAATCTAACTTTATTAAAGTAATTATTTTTAATTATAACCTAATTTAATTAATTAGTTATATAAAAGAGAAATATAATATTAATTTAATTAATTTAAATTAGGTTAATAATAAGTTATTAGGTTTTAAAGACTTAGAAATAGCCTTAAAAGAAGGTTATTTTTTTTTAATTAAATAAGGTAGCTTTTCTTATTACCTTTATAAGTAATTTACTTATATATTAAAAGTAGCTCTTTAATATATTTATAAGGGCAGTTAATATTATTAAAGAGCTGCTTTTAAATTAATAAAGAGTTAAATAAATATAAAATAAAGGTAAGGTTTAGAAATTTTTTTAAAGTTAAAATTAAAAGAATTTTATTATATTTTATATAAGTTAATTAGTAAAAGTTAAATTAACCTTAATTAATTAAATATATATAGTAAGGTATATAACTAATTAACCTTATATATAAAAATAAATAAAGTAAATTTAATAAAAAAGTAATAATTTAAACTAAAGTTAAATTATTATAATTTATTAATATTATTATTATTTAATAATATTATTATAAATTATTAATATAATATAAAACTTTAAAATAAATAATTAATTAAAAAAAAACTTATAATTAAAATATTAATTTATAAATAATTAATATAAGGTTAAAGCTAGATAGCCTCTTATAAGGTTAAAAGTAAGGGAAAAAAAAATTAATTAAATTAATAAAATTTTAAATAAAAAAAATTTTTAAAAAAAATTAAATTAATAATAATTTTATAATAATAAAATCTTATTATTTAAAAAAAAATATTAAATTATTAAGTATTAATTAATAAGATATTTTAATTAAAATAATTATTTTTCTTAAAGTAAAAGAATTATATAATATTTTATTTCTCTTTTAGAGATTAGCTAGGCTATATTAGAAAGGTCCTAGATAGATAGTTCGATCAATCAATCAACGGTTCAACACAGGTAGTTACCAGCTCCACAAGATCGCCTGTAGGTCAGCAGCATATATGCTATTATCTAAAACGGCTAACTATGGCTCAGGACCTCGAAAACATTTACGATAGATTGGCAGATCGAGGATGAACGTTAGAACAAATAGGAAGAGAAAGTCATAACTATAGTACAAGTAAAGTAAGGTATATTAAAGAACACTAATCCACGACATTCGCTTCTCGAGAGTATCATAAAATCCAATAACCCGTCCCTAACCATACTCTGTGAAAGGCACATACATGCCGCCCCACCCATATGAAGGAAAAAATAAATCCGCGGTATGGAAGCCTTTGTTGCCCAACTCCTGCACACCCTTTGCTGGCATTTCATGTATTCTTGTTTGTTACTCCTTTTCTTCCATAACATCATTATGCAGCAGCTCCCCCTATCTTGTCTGCAGTAGTCTCCTTCTCTAGAAGATTACCAAGATGCTGCAGGTCATCTCGAGCTTTAGGGTCACGTTCCAGAACCCTTCTTACGACTTCCCACTCCTTGCGGGCCATCTGGAACGCTTGAGGCAAGATGAACTGCACGGTCGGGGATGTTATCCAGGGTCCCAGGAGCTCCTGTGCCATGGCTACGCCTGCCTGCTGAGCCTGGTGCCTTTGTGCTTCTGACATCTGTGCTGGCGCAGGTGCAGGTGTCGGTGTTGGAGCTTGTAGTGGCACCGGTGGCCGAGTGTACGGTGGCTGAGGAATTGGCACAGGAGTTGTAGACTGCCATTGGCCTGGAGATGATTGCTGAGGGAAACCTCCTTGAAATCCTCCCTGGGGGGCCTGTGGGGTCGCCGGAGAGAATGCCGGGCCGGCGGACGTTGTCGAATTGCTTCTCTGAGCATGTGCTGCAGGCGCTGGTGATCCCAGGGCTTTGGCATCTTGTTGATTTGCAGCCCCATCCTTCAGTTGTTTGAGCTGGTCAGGCTCGTTATGATAAACAAAGACTGCCAACAACATGGGTTCCGACCGGACCTTGGGGATTTTGTTATCAACCAGGTTGAGCATAAACTCGGGATAGTTGTCTTCCCCCGCAGGAACTGGTACCAGATATGTATCTCGCACATTACCAATTGTCTTGTCCCCAACTACACCATACCGCTTCTTGCTGATGAAGTAGTGAAGAAGGTTGTGAAAATCAGCATGGGAAAAGGGCGATACCGGTGAAATCGAAACGACAATGACATCGGTGCTGTTACTGTAGCGAAGACCACATAGGTATTCGATAGCACTTTGTTCGGGGATTCGTCCAGCCACCGTCATCCTCTTAGGGATCAACTTGGACCACGGTCCGACTGAAGCAAAGTTGGCACCACCGATGTACTTGGCTGTCGCTGGGAAGTCAGCAATCGAGCTCATAGCAAGAGAGCCCTGCCAGATGACATCAGGGTCCTGGGTCTCCTCTGTGGGCGAGTAAGGGGGCGACTCGTTCTCGTCTTGGAGCATGCGATCTACATCAGGATCCACGCCCGGGCCATTGGCTCCAGTTACCAGAGCCGAAGGCCGCCGATTCTGAGTTGTAGTGGGAGACTTGACACTAGAGAAGACTTCGTTGATGTCGAAATCAGGTTGACTTGGCGATCGCTGCTTATCGTCCTGCTGCTGTGGGTGTGAAGTCAGGTCCGCCTTGTCGCCTCCTGTAGGTTCCTTCTTAACGGCCTGAGGCTCTGGTCGACGAGGGGGTCCCGGTGGGAGGGGCACGGCAGAGTCGTTGACAAATGTTTCGTCGTCCACAACCTCTTCGCCCTTATGCGTTCGTCGAACGCGAGGTCCTGTCTCAGAAGTGTAGAGGATAGACTGTTTCTCGGCCTTGGCTTTCATCTCGGCAGTCTGCTTCTTCATTTCCGAAGAGGCAAGCTGCTCTGATGTCATAGTAGCCAAAGTTGTGGGGGACAGGGTCTTATGAACAAGCCCATGGCACAACTCCGGGTTGTTCTTCAGGTTGAAGCTTAGTGACTTGATTTGCTGGTTGTATTCTTTTTGTCCCTTAGTCACGGGATAAGAATCATAAACGGCGCGCTCGATCTGAAGCGAGAAGGTCTCAGTCATAGACTCAACTGTATTGCCCTCCTCAAGGTCCAGTTCGCCCTGCTTCTGCATCGATGTTAAAACATGGCTGATAGACTTGCTCAGTGCTTTGGCTGGGCCTGTCCGAGAACCAGGCAAATCTGGTATCGACTTGGCGAGGTCATCAGGTGGTGTATAGGAGACAGGGACAGGAGTTGCCCCGTTCTCTGATACGCGACGAACCTTGGCAGACTACACATCGTGTTAGTATGATGATCTAAGGAGAACGGGTAAGTAAATCATACCTTGCCATCAGCATCATGAGACTCTTCGCGGGCTTTTCGCTTCCCTGTCTTTGTTTCTTTCTTATCTTTGGTTGTGTCCGGAGCAGGCGCAGGAGAAGACTTCGCTTTAGTCTTATCTTCCTCCTTGGTTTCGCTGTGACGTTTGCCTTTGCCTTTTCGTCCGCCACGCTTCTTCTTCTTGGACTCCTCTTCATGTGCTTTGCGCCGAGCTTCCCAAGGTTTCTCTCCCTTAGCTATTCCATCAAGGAGCTCCTTGTGATCGTCCGGTCGGCATTGCTCGCACCAGTAATGCTCAGGGATCTCATCATCGAATGAGCTTACCCCTACACAGACGTTGTGCTGCCATGCGCCGCAGGTTTCGCAAGCGATCCAGGCTTCACCTGAATCTTCATCTTGTTCGGTGGCGCCGCATACACAACGGATCAGTTCATCTTCCTCCTCTTCCTCCTGTTCTTGCTGTTGTTCCTGTTCCAGCTCTTGTTCCTGCTCCTTGGCTTTCTTGGTCTTCTTAGTCTGTCGCTTTTTCGGCACGGTCGCAGGCTCAAGTTCGTCGAATGATTTCGTATGCTGACCTTTAGTGGCGCGTACCGATCGTCGAGGTTCCGCTTCGCCTGAGATGTTGCTGTTAGTTGGTGCTGCAGAATGCTTGGTGTCGCGGCGTCGGTCGCGCTTTGGGGGTGCTTGGTCTTCAACGAGCTGGGATTGCTTCGGGGACTTTGCGAGTCTTTGTCGCTTACCGGACATGATTAAGAATGTGCGAATGGTTGTGATGTGGTGTTTTGGATGAAGCGACGCGTACCGATGCTGAGCGGCGTTTGGTGGCGTTGCAGGTGTTGGGAGGGATTTCTACTGTTGCAACGAAGCGCAGGATGGTGTGCGCCCTTAGACAGGCATTGAGGTAATTACGTGGGAAATAATTGAGAGTCACGACTATGTCAAGAACAGATTCAGGTTCTTCCCAGCTGATCCACGCGCAGATGCTTGTCTTCAAATCTCTAACCGTGTTGGCGCAAAGAGGTGCTCTCACTAGCACAGGCACTCAGGTGGAATATGGCCTGCGCCAAGAGGGTAAAAATATGTTTTGCTGTAATTCGAAAGTGCTGAACGCGATGAAAGTGTCAATCCCTTGAAGCGACCTCACAAATTGCGTGAGAGGTGCGCGACGATTTTGCGATAGTGGAGATGCAGTATCAGTAGAATGCGGTAGGTCGCGTGCCGTGGTTGGAATGACGCGCGCACTTGAGAATCAATGTTCAGGGGAGTGTTTAAGATGTCCTGTGGGATAATTTGAAGCAGCTGTATTCTCTCGGGGCTGGTTGGGGAGGATGGCGCTGGGTGAATCACTCGAAATGATGATGTAGAAGGGAAGTGTTGCGATCCCGAAACTGGAGGGGGGAGGGAGCTATTGCGGAGGTAGAAAAACTAGTAGCTTCCGCCTGTTCGCCCATGCCCTACAGCGGCTGAATTGTGGTGGCAGGTGGCAGGTGGCAGGAACCAACCAGGATCAACCCACGCTTGTGATTGCTTTGCGTGACAATGAAGAGAAAGTATTTGATGCCTGATTGTGGCAATGTGTTTGCCTGATTAACAAGCCATTACTTTCCATTTTCCAGTAACTGTATGGAAAGTGCTACAATAGGATTAGTCATGAGGGAGGTCAGCCTTGCAGTTTAAGGTTTAAGTGGATTGGCTAGACTTTACCCCCCATTAGGCAACCTGAGGCAACACTCTTCAGCCTTGGTCTCAAGCAGCTAAGCAGCAGAAAGCTAACGCGGCGCGGCGGCCTAGAGCTCCGTTACAGGTAACGACGTAAACGAATCCACAGCCTCAGCTCCATCAACCAGACTGTCACCATCACAACGGCTCTCTGTTACTTTCGACCTGGTTTTTAATCGTTTCAGAGAGGTTACCCGTCTTCTTAATCTCTCACATATCGCCATCCCAACGTATCCATCATGTCTCGTCGTTACGATTCCCGAGTGCGTTGCCCTTGAAGCTCCAGGATCTCGAAGCTCTCCCAACAAGCTAACCGGCTCCTATAGACAACCATCTTCTCACCAGAGGGCCGTCTGTACCAGGTCGAATATGCTCTAGAGGCCATCTCACACGCAGGTACAGCCATTGGCATCCTGGCTAAGGATGGTATCGTCCTGGCCGCTGAGCGAAAGGTCACCTCGAAGCTGCTGGAGCAAGACACTTCCGCCGAGAAGCTCTACATCTTGAATGAGTGCGCAAATCCTCCATTGCATACTTTGCTAGGTCGAAGGTTATTTATTAACAATATATTTGTTTAGCAACATGATTTGCGCCGTTGCTGGAATGACCGCCGATGCCAACATCCTTATCAACTACGCCAGACAAGCCGCTCAGCGATACCTCCTCACCTATAACGAAGACATCCCTTGCGAACAGCTTGTGCGTCGACTTTGCGATCTTAAGCAGGGATACACCCAACACGGTGGTCTACGACCCTTCGGTGTGTCCTTCATCTACGCTGGTTGGGATCCTCGTAGACAATTCCAGCTCTACCTCAGTAACCCCTCTGGCAACTACGGTGGCTGGAAGGCTACAAGTGCGGGTGCCAACAACGCAAGCGCACAGAGTCTACTCAAGCAGGATTATAAGGAAGACTGCACTCTGAAGGAGGCTTGCGGCATGGCGGTCAAGGTTCTTAGCAAGACAATGGACTCTACCAAGCTGAGCAGCGAGAAGAGTATGTTTCGCCTATGAATTTGTACCAGATTTCCCGCTAACATCACTTCTAGTTGAATTCGCGACAGTAGGACAGACCGAGGATGGCAAGATCTACCACCGCCTGTGGAGTGCTGACGAGATTACGGCGTTGCTGAAGGAGCATGACTTGGCGAAGAACGAGGAGACAGAGGAAAAGTAGGCAACAAGGCTATAGATTCTTGATAGATGGGGAGAAAGGAATGCGGGGCCACTCTTATCTGCCCCTGTACAATAATATCATGAAATGACCACAAAACGAGACTTATCCAACGCCTGGCTTGACCAAGTCTAAAAGTGTTGCCGAACACATGATGCTTCGATGAAAGAGTAATGCAATGCAGGCTAAGCCAGAGCATCTCGAACAAACACGCAAGCTATTCCTGGTCCCCAATATCAGCGTCGCGAACCTCTCAAGTTTTCCATCTCGAATCCTACATCTGTCCCTCTTGCTGCCTCCTCATCATCGGTGATTCGTTGCCATCCCGGCTGAGTATCAACTCCTGGTCGCGGATAAGGCTCGTCGCATTTGGTGCTTGAAAGGCGAGGAAAGTGCCGTCTGTAGCTCCAATACGCAATGCTCATGCCTAGAGCTGAGCCTACGCAGACATCGTAGACATCGTGGCGATAATCCTCGCATCGAGATATGGCGACTAGGCCTGCACCAATGAGTGGCAGCAGGCAGACCAACGCGCGGCTGAGATCACGGCCGCCAGCTGAGTAACGGAACACGTGAAGTTGGCCGGCGAGGAAGAGGCTGAGAAAACCTAGGCCAGCGAATGAGAAGGATGAGTGGCCAGAAGGGAATGATCGCCAGCCCTCTTGCAGTATATGGCCATCTTCTGCCGTGCAGACATCGATTGTTACAAGAGTGTTGGCCTTTGTTCCGACTGCGGGCTTGCAGCGGTCCAGCAGATCAGGACGAGGTCTGCCAACAGCGTTCTTGATGATGTCAGTGATGAAGGATGTGAGTACAATAGAGATGAGGAACGAGAGGTAAGTGACTTCATGCTTGGCCGCTGATGACCTTGCGATTATGTTGTAAGCGATTAAAACTCCCAGCGGTATGAAAAGGGCGTATACGAAGTTCATAACTGGTAGTCTTTGTTAAGTCCGGTCACAGAAACTGAGGTTGATGTTTGAGACGTACACACAGGGACACGCTCATGGACCGCAAAGGGATACGAGATCTGCAAGTCGTTTATGAAGAACATGCGATGAAATGGGTTAACAAATAGAACCGTCTGTGAATCTGTCAACCAGTGTTCTGGGCTCTCAGTGACGATATAGTACAGACCAAGATCCAACCTGTTAAGAGAAATAGGAAGCCGACATAATCAGGCGCATGAGTTGTCTGTTGAATGTAATGAGTATAACACCAAGCTTCGATCTGACGAGTCACTTTACCTTCCAATACCTCCTCAAGAATGAGATTGGTCCGCCGGACGAGCCATAGCTATGAGCTGGAGCCATGATTGATGATGATGGTTGAAATCAGGTTTGACGGGCGGAGGTGTCGGAACATAGGCAGACTGCAGTATCGCAACAAATGGGAAATGCAGTATGTCTGTATTGTCAAATAAGAGGAAGTTTAGCTTTGTTACCGAGTCATGTTGAAGGGGCGCGGCTCATAAGGTCGGTGCTGTTGTGCTGTTGAGAAGACGTGACAGGTTCTTGCTGAGGTTGGATATGTTGCCCGAAGCGGGAATGAGGGCCCCCGATCTTCGGTTGGTTTTCTGGGGCCAAATCAATGAGGGAATCCAGAAAATGGACAACTTAATGTACACCAACTAGGTAGGTAGCATATATCAATGTTCGCTTCTATTCCTCAAGTGACCTAAGTCAGGATCAAGTGGTCATTATGAATTATTAAACTTTTCAATCTCTCAACCCCTGTGTGATTGCTGCTGCTCCATGTATTCGTACTTTACGAATGATAACTCCTGCAAGTTTAAACGCAGAAACGATTGTCGATAGGCATAACAGATTAACATCTGCCTGTCTTTGAAAACAAGACGATAAAAGCATATTAAAATGATTTACTTCAGTAAGATTACAAATATGAATTTTTATACCAACCTTGAAATGAAAAGAAGTCGAGGTAACGATTTCAATGAGCTGCTCTGCTACAGGGTAAGTACCATCAAATCATCATGCACTATTTCTTAGGCCCAAGCTTTTGCGGATTTCTTCTGTGAAGGTTGACGATCAGGGAAACTTGTTGCTCTCCCTCAACCATAATAAACCTCCCAACAAAACAACTCCTGTCGACACAATCTCAGCAATCGCAAACCCAGAATCTCTGTCTGCGCGAATACATAGTTTCATTAAGCGCTATCTCAGGAACAGCTTCCGAATGTACAAACTGATGTCATAGTTTACGACGCGACGAAGCGAGATGCTCAAATCGACACATACACCATCGGCAGCCGCTCTGGCACCGCTTCCGCCAGGATGGAGCGAGCATACCGCGCCGACCGGACACACATACTATTACAACGCCGAAACAAAAGAATCAACATACAAGCGTCCAGGAGTTCAGCCGCCTCCACAGCCTGCGCAAGCACCAGCTCCCACATATCCTGGTTATGGCTCAATACCATACCTAGCCGACCCCAACGTCGCTAATGCTTATATGGCACAATTCAACCAAGATAATAATGGACAAAGGCATAACAATAGTTCACGAGGCGGGCATGGGGGAGGTCGTGGAGGGTTCGAAGGCCGACCGCGTCCACAGCCTGTTGACAAGCCGAGGAGAAAGGAGCCGATCCCAGGTTGCGAACCATGGATTCTCGTATATACCAAGTACTCGAGGCGCTTCGTATACAACCCTGTCAAGAATGCCAGCTACTGGCGCATACCGGAGAAATTGATGCCAGCCATTTTGGAGCTTGACAAGGCGCGGCTACGGCAGAAAGCTACAGGAGAGAACCAAGAAAAGGAACATAAGCAAGATGGAAAGCAAGAGGAGAAGAAAACAGTACCACAAAAGAACGACGCCCCAGTGGGGGGTTTGGACGACGATAGCGAATATGAAGAGGTCGAGGTGACGGATGACGAAGGCGAAGGTGAAGGCGATGAAGAACGCCCCTCCAAACGGCAACGGACTGCAGATCCTGATGCAGACGAAGAAGTACCTATGGAATTCACAGAAGCCGATTTTGCAGCTCAATTACAGGCCATGGGAGACGATTACGGCCTTGAACCAGGTGATTACGACGATGGAAACGCTGAAGAATGGCCTGAAGGTGCCGAGGGAGTGCCTCTATCCGAAGACGACGCGAAATACCTGTTCAAGGATCTCTTGAACGACTTCAACATCAACCCATACAGTCCGTGGGAGAAACTCCTGGAGGAAGGCAAAATCATCGATGACTTGCGATATACAGCACTCAGCACTACGAAAGCACGTCGAGATTGCTGGGATGAGTGGACGCGTGAGAAGATCGCGGAGTTGAAGGAGCAACGAGCCAGGCAGGAAAAGCGGGATCCTCGTATTGCTTACATGGCATTCCTGCAAGAAAAGGCGACACCGAAGCTGTACTGGCCTGAGTTCAAGAGAAAATACAAGAAAGAGGACGTCATGAAAGATCACAAGATCACCGACAAGGATCGCGAGAAGGCGTATCGAGAACACATTGGTCGCCTCAAGATGTCCCAGTCCAAACTCAAGTCCGATCTTACTGCCCTGCTCAAGGCCCAGCCGGTGCACTTACTAAACAACAAATCGCTATCTACCGGCTTACCCGACCCGGTCCTCACCGACATTCGCTTCATATCCCTCGAGCCCAAGATCCGCGATCCTCTGATCGAGGCTTACGTGAGCAATCTGCCTCCCCCACCAGAGGACCTAGATGCAGCCAAGGACGACGAGGAGCAGCGAAAGCAGCGCGAGTCCCGCGAGAAGCGTGAGAAGGCACTGGAGGAGAGAAACCGCGTGGTGGAGGAACAGAAAAGGAAGCGCGATCGAGAGGTGGCGGCTAGTAAAGCCCGATTGAGAGATGAAGAAAGGGAGTTGGAGATGGCCATGAAGGTAGGAAAACAAGGATTGCAGAGCCAATTGGCCAGCATGAAGGTCGCAGAAAAAGAACCATGATATTGGGAAATAGCACCTTGTATCTGGATATGCATCTATCTAGCAGATCTAGTTCTAGCGACCAACCATGGTTAGGTTGTGTCGATATAGACAATCACAGTCCATACATGAAAGTCAACTTCTTGTCTGCGTATCGGCGGTCATTGAGTCTCTCACTCTCGATCTCCTCTGGTGACATTGTGCTCAATATCGCCTGCTTGCGTTTGTTGACTGCTGCAAGCATGAATCGATAGGACAAATATCCGACTAAGGCGATGGCAAGGAAGCCCAGCGTGACGTAAAATGGAAATCTGTAATGGGGCTTGTATCGCTGTCGGTACAACTGCGCCCCGATCACGCCTCCAAGGTTACCGAACCCATTGACGCCAAGCACAAGAGCTCGCTTGCCAGGCTCAGGCGTATTGCCACTGAGCCATGCCATAGTGAGAGGAGCCGAAATGTATACGCCGGATAGAAGTACACAAAGTGAAACGTACTGCCCAGTGCTCGAGGAGATTGTAACAGTAAGGATCAGGCCAATGATACCAATCACCAAACCACCCAATATGTGATATCCCCGTTCCTTGTAGTGATCCGAACTTAGAGCAAAGGCGTAAAGGCCAAGAGCACCACAGACGAAGGGCGGAACTGTCATCTAGATCGCTCGCAGTCAGTCAAGTTCATTTGAGGTTACAATATAAGCAGAACATACCAGGTTGGCAAGAATAGACTCGTAACCCAGCCCCTGAACAACAAGGGGCAGGAAAACTGAGAAGGCACCGCTGGGGACACTCGCGCAGATATTGAGCAGTAGGACGGTCCACAGCTTCCAGTCTTTCATCGTTTCCACGAAATCTCTCTTGCTCAAACGGTTCTCTTCGATACCATCTTCGCTGTACTCATGTTGTACAAACTCGGCGTTGTCTTGCTTCATACGTTCGACAGCAAACTCTCGTTCATCTGGACGAAGAAACCAAGCAGAGCCAGGACCTTTAGGTAGCCACAGCCAAGCAATGATAGCAAAGAAGCATGTCAGTGCTCCCTCGATGAGGAAGAGATATTGCCAGTTCTTGAGGCCACCGCCACGGAGATGAAAGATGCCGTATGCTTGAAGGAGTTAGTAATCAGCTTGAAAAATTGTTACAACCAGAACTCACAAATTGAGCCAGAGAAGGCTCCAGCGATGGCATACTGTCCGTAAAATAGAGCGAGTCTAACACAAAAGTCGTAACGTGGGTAGAAGAACGACAAATACGCAACGGCCGTGGGGTAGAAGCCCGCTTCAAAGGCACCAATGAGCAAACGTGTGGTGATAAGTGCCCCTAGAGTGAGGTCAGAAGAGGGTTGACAAGATGTGACAACATGAAGTGGACGGATGGGCTACAGACCACGTCCTTTGATGAAAGCTTGACCAATTGTCACTGCACCCCAGCCAAACTGTAGAATGTGTCAGTAACTTCTCAGACTCTTAGTTGTGGCATAGTTGAATCACCATTAAAAAGGGGATCCAATGCTTAGCACCAATATAACGACCAGCTGCGGCAGAAATGGGTTGCAAGACAACAAAAGTAACAAAGAATAGAGAGACCGCTTCATTCAAATCATCCGGCTCAGCCCCTATGTCTGTAGTAAAACCTGATAACAAGCTGTCAGATACCGATCGAGCACGTACGAAGGGAGGGGGACTAGGAGATGTTGTTTACCTTGGGTTTCGGCATTGCCAACATTGCCACGATCTAGACCATTGAACAGATATAGAAGTGAAAGAAGTGGAAGCAACGCAAAATCGAGCTTCTGATTGAGTGCTCGACTTCTCTGTTTGTTCTGCTCGACTGAGTAGGCAGCGGGTTGACTCGATGGAGTCTTGCTCGACTTGGTCGGCTGGAGGGCTTCTTGATCGGACATGGCTGCTTCTAATCCAGTTTTAGATGTGAACGGTTTGGTTTTCTCCCGAAAAAAGAGGAGACAGGCAAATTCCTTGTGAGACACTGCACAGATACTATGAGCAGTGCATTGGCGTCGTTGCCGGGTTCATATAGGCACGCGTTTGACAGGCAACTCTCGCTTGCACAGGTCTCCCAAACATACACACCTGGAGGCTCTTAATGATATCTCCGCCTATATTCCTAAGGCCCAGGGATTAATTGGGGGTCGGGCCAATGATCCAACTTCCAGCAGTTGTCCCAAGAATCTGGTAAGCGTGATCCATGTGTAGGCCCGATCCGGACGTCATTCTGTTTGTCACGGTCGTATATAAATCAAGGTTTGCTGTTGGCCTATCATGAAGTAAGAATCTGACAGCAGACCAGACGCTCGGGATTGAGGCTGACAGGAAGTGCCTCGAATAGGCAGATGCTCAGCGCCACTACTGTAACCTCGATCAAGGTTGCCTGAGTGTCGGGACACACACTGACCGCATCTTTAGCTTGAGGAAAGCACGTTAAACGTGATGGATGGCTGTATTGGGGTCGAAAAGTAGCGGGAATTGAGCTAAGGAGGCCCATCTTGACTCATTACCAAGGAGCGGGTACTCATAGAACGAATCGACAAGTGCCTCCACAATTACGCGCAAACCAGGGAAGGACTCCCAAGTTTGCCGCGATGAGCAAATCATGTTGCTCATGATCGAGTTCGTTAAGTCGTGGGCTGTGTCGTTAGGGCTGTAAGGCTGACATATACCCCAGAATCCAGGATCCTTCGCGCTGCTTACTGAGAACGTGTTGTTCCACACTTGGCGTTCTGTAGATGCGCCTTGATTTCAGCAAGGGCTTATGGGTGGCTTGAATGAACGTTCTAGAATAACGCCTCGACCAAAACGGGCTACAATATTCTCATGTCAACCGTTGGTCCCTCCCGTGAGCTGAAGTAAAGCTTCCAATGCCTGAAACAGGCACTTCAAGTGAGTGGCAAGATGCACATCCAGCATCCTTATTGATGGTAATTTGAGAAACCTCCCCAATAACAGATGCACCAGGCAGGAAAGCTTGCATGAGGAATCAAAGCCTCACAACTGTGCAGGCGATGTAAGACAACCCCCAAAGCCGTACTGATTCTATCACATTTTGATAATATGAATCCGAGCCTCCGTCAGATGTTCCAAGGCAACAAGAGGCACGAAAATGCCATATGCCACTGCTATTGGTTGTGTCGTGAAAGAGGCAATGTAACTCTCCAGATTGTCGGGGTCAAGGACCATGCTCAAGATCGTCTTACTCGGATTCTGGCATCAGAGATTGGTAAAATATTGGTCAGCCTTCTTCTCAACTTCCTGGGCATAGTTCAATATTCCCTCACAACCGGTGACGCCGTCCTCAGTGATGTAGTGATTGATCAAATCGGATGACACCCACTCGAAGTACACGTTTTTGACAGTGACTTGAGAGTGGGGAATCTCCCTCAGAGCTGAGCTGAAGTCCCCCCAAGCTTGCATAATCTCGCATGGATCGTTTTCCTCCTGACCTGGCGGTGCAAAAGGGAGTACCTTCTCTTTCTCCGACAAAACGACAATTTTGGCTTTTGGAGACACGTACTTGGTTGTCAGAACAGCAGGCAGAGAACCGACTTTGTTGCTAACCGCGGCTGTTTTGTCGATCAGATCCGCTCCGATGAGCACAATATCTATGTCCTTCGCTGCAACGCCAACACTTGCATCAGTGTGGATTATCAAGCGGGTCTTGGCCTTGGAATTGTTGGCACATGAAGCAATTGACTGTGCCATCTTGACACCTTCAAAGAGTGGTCGGGATTCGAGCACATGAACCTCCACAGGTCGCGAAGTGTTTCCCATAACGTGAGTGATGGCCGAGGTGATAGTTGAGCTAGAGGAGAGGGTAAGGATCTTGAGTGGTCCGCCCCCGGATAGATGCTGCTCTATGAGAGTCTGGAACATCGCGCCAGTTCTGGAAGTGGTATTCTGTCGGTCGCGGGCGTAATTGCCCAAGGATCTGACGATATTATCGATCGAGCTCTTATCTAGTGGGCCGCTGGGAGGGAGTGCGTCTTGAACTATGTCCAAACCCGATAGAACAACGTTCAAGATAGATGCGCCCATACTTTCTCGCCCGTTCTTCCACAGGTGCCATCCCGCGAACCTGACATTCTTCCACCACTGAACTTGATCAGTGAAATCGAGTCTGTTAATAACATCGATGTAGGTGTCGAGAGCCTTAGTTGCTAATTGGCGCGCTCCGCTTTCGTGATCTTTCTGCAGAGCGACCAAGCCCCGGTTAAGCGTGTTGCCAGCGTCCTCGCCCAAGTCAACGTTGAACCACACCCTTCGAAGACTCTCTAGGATGCGCGGAACGCCCTCGAAGTCATCTGAGTCGTTGATCGCATCTGGATCGAACCATTCGTACCCCTCATGCTCCCAGTCAATTTTGATATCAGCCTCACCGCGGCCACCGTCGCTCTCCGATTTGAGAACGAAACCGAAAGGGTTGACGGTCCACTCTCTGCCAATAGATTCATCAGCGAACGAGAATGGTTTGCCCTTGCGAAAAAGACGTAAGGAGTCATGTGTAAGAGTTGTTTCCTCAGCAAGTTCCCTCCAGGCTGTGGCAAGAGGATCCGCGTCAGTGTCATCTACACTTCCAGAAATGCCTGCATATTTGTGCCTTAGTATGTAAGCACGGTTCACTGATAAGGTAATATAATATACTTTGCTTACTGGTATGTGTTTACGTGACCGCTCCGGCGGAAGAGAGCGACCTGCGGTTTCTTGGCCTCACCGTCAGCGGGGAATCTGAAGATGAAGCTCGTCGCGACGTCTCTATGTTTGAGAGGTGCCATTTGTGACGAAAGCCTGCAGATCTTGGACAGTCAAAGATGGCGATGTGAGACCAAGTGCATGCCGTGTGTCGTTTGGGAAGGGAAAAGATGAGACTTTGGGATGCTGAGTAGGATTTTCGTGGGTGAGACAATTGGTACCTTACGGCATGGAAACCCAAGGGAGGAAGGAAGGTTGCGAGAATACCACATGCTTCATCACATGACTGTCACACGTCACTTTCCTCTTAATTACATCAAGACAGAAGCGATAATCATGATTTGAGTTACCAGGAATATCCTTGTCTCTCTTATTTCCACGTTTGAATCCGATCATATTCATGGGGGAAAACCCAATCTGAGCCACGCTTGGGCCGATAGTTCGTTCGCCATTCACCATTAGAGGACATTTAATTGTCCATATACACTTTAAACATCGTAACTACGTATCCTACATTCGCTTGCCCTTTCAACAGTTTCCCAAATACCCATTAGAATAAAAACCCAAAAAAGAATCAACTTTTGTTCTGTAAAGAAAAACCCAATGTCAATCGCCAACTTTTGTTGCTCACAGGGCGCCCAACTCCAACTCAAATGAGATACCCATTATTAGATTGCCAATCGACATCAATCCACGAAACCAACTCATTATATAAAATGTGACCTTGATCAACAAGGATAGGCTGCTGAAGTGCCTCTGATGTCAGCTTGTCTGACCATTGCTGTCCCATGTCAACTGTTGTTCGATTTGCGATCGGATCGTAGGTAGTCGTAGTCTGTGTCATGTTGACGGAACGTGTTGCAGTGCTCATGTCAACAGGGATAGGAAGACGCTGCACAAGAACGCGAAGATCTCGAAGTACCGTGGCACAGTCCCGACCGTAGTTGCTACCAACACGGCTCTCATCCTCGAACCTCCCAATCACAAAGTCGAGGTCAAGTGACCGAGCCTTTTCACTTCGAGAAGACGGGCACAGATCCTCTACCAGCTGCTGTAACATCAGCACTATGGCAGCGTTGAAGATGAAGTGAAGGCCGGCTTGGAGCAGCTTTCGAGGATGGTTGACAAGCAGGATCTGTCGAGCGAGCCGTATGTTGTGTTCTGCTGACGCTATGCATCGCTTGAGTAGAGGGAGTTGTGGATGTGAACTCAAGGAACATTGTCGTGAGACCAGCTTTTCCGCGAATGCTTTCTTAACCAAGGCGAAGAAAACGGGGCGGATAGTCAAGATTATTAACTAAAGGAGAGAGTTAGCCCAATGGTAACAGATATTGAGAAGTGGAGAAAATACCTGGTTATAGTGCATGTGCAGCAAGCAAGTAGCTGGGTCATCGCTCAACCCATTGCTTGCGAGTTGCACCGTAGGTGGTAGTTTTAGACACCACTCGTCGAGCATACTTATCTCCCCTTCGAGGCTTCTCACAGGTCTTGCAGCGTCTTCTGAAGGGGAAATACGATATGTATTACATACGATATGGCATGAAATCCGCGAAAGCTCGACATGAGCTTTGAGACCATCTGCAGGAGGCATAGACCTATCGAATGAGGTTAGTCAGAGCGAAAGGGCATAGATAGGGGTATACCTACGGAGCATCGCAAGGAAGCGGTAACCGAATCGCGTCATCCATGATGGTCGGGGGTCTCCCCATGAGGCAGCTTAAGTAGCGATCCAATACATAAAGCGTCCAGAATACGCGTTTGCCACTCTCGTCGAGCCAGCCCCTATGTGCGCCATGCATGATGCTGATATGCATAGCGTTGCTTACACAGATATATGCGGCGTCACGGCGATTCATCTCTATCAGGTAGAATCCCATCAATGTCAACACCGATACTTCGTTGGGCGTAAAGCGTGTAATGTCAAGCGGGTTCCCTAGGAGCATACGGGCCCGGCTGAAGTAGTTCTCGCTGAGATGCGGGTCTATAGAGATATCCTGGGGCGGCATGATCATAGCTTGAGATACCACAGCAAATGCTGTCTGGTAGAAAGCCAAATGACGGCACTTGGCGAGACGCAAGTTTGCCGAGTCTCGTTCCATGGAAGGGATTGTCGGTGCTGAAGAGAGATTCCCCCACCAGTAGATGCCTCCACTTGGCCAGTGGCAGTTACCGTCTTGGATGAAATAACGAAGCTCGGATAGCATTGAGTCCATCTCTGGGGGTGCAGGAAACCATGTCGGGTCAACATCTCGATCATGCAAAGGTCGAGAGTCGTAGGTCTGGTAACGACCAAGACTTGACAAAAATGCACTTCCGTCAGAACCTGGACGCAGATTTTGATATGCAAGAGGCAGAACTGTAGTCATGAATTCCTTCAAATAGTCGAGGAAAGTTGCGCCACTCGTCTCACCCAGAAAACGAGCATAGCCGTCAGGGTCATGTAACAGACGACCTTCGGTTGAGACCAAGTTCTCTTCATCATCCTGTCTGTTATGAGGCGTCGCTCCAGGATGTGGTAGCTGGATAGAATGTGACCGTGGTAGTCCATAGCTGGGTTCCTGTATTCGAGTATCTGAGAGCTGAGCTTGAAGATGAGAATGAGGATGAGGATGAGGCTGTTGCTGTTGCTGGAATTGTCTATGTATACTGGGATATTGAAGTTGAGGAAGCTCAGACGGCACTCGCCCAATATGCGCTGTTGCATCTATCGTTGGCGTCTGTGCCGCTAGACTAACGGCCGATGATCCAATGTCATGGTTAGAGGCGGTCCAACTAGGCAAATCTGAGAGTTCTTGGCGGCTTGCAGAATCTGGGACGGCGTTTGATACAGCTGCTGGGACTGTGTCTCGAAGAACACGTTCATAGACATCGACCTTGTGTTTCAATTCCTCGAGCTCTGAGCGCGTGATGCTCACCTTCTCAACAGGCAGAGGATATATGCAGTCGCGTGAAGAGGATTGGCATTGGCGACACGGGTGCTCACCAGAGCATCTTACTCTTCTCACATTGCAAGCATTGCACCTTTTCAGCGAGAAGTGTGTTAGATAAAGACATGGGATTCTGTGATGATATGATTGATAAGTGACTTGAGGGGGGAACCTCAGTCAAGCTTGACATCTGCCGAAACGCAGGAAGAATTGAGTACAATTGAAGTGGAACTGATACATCGATAGATGGTACATAAAAGAAGATCGATATAAACAAACCCATTGCAGGATAATATCGATTGAATAGCTACAGTGGTGTGGTACTGTAGACCGGTAGACACAGGGAAACTAATCAACTTACGCTGTAGCGACACGCTTGCGATGCTCGGGAGCAACCTTGTGCCGGCGGGGATTGACAGGAAGCCGACGCGGAGTATGGGAGGCAGAGGCAGAAACAGAAACAGAGGCCCGAGGCCGAGCCGATTGTGGTCCAGTTGCATTCGTAGTCGCAGTTGGGCCAGAGTCGTCGGGCTGCTTCATGGCTTAGTAGTTCGTGAGTTTCCGTTTCCAAGAGGAGAGCACTCGTCGTTTGCTCTCAGAGACTGAGAACCAGTCAGCCCCTGCCTGCTAAGAACCTACCAAGAGTGCTACCAGTGCTAGGTTAGTACCGCGTTTGGGGCCGCTTAGAAAAGATTGCATGTCCCCCACCCGAAAGGATTCTCATAATCCTGTCCGAGCAAAGATGTTCAACTGTTGGTGCGGAAATTTGGGAGGGAAGCCGGAATCAGCCAATCAATTATGGAGAATTCATATCACCAAAAATATCACCTCGACCTGGATCGCCTCGCTTGCGGCATGGTTCGTTGAACCCTGTATTTCGACTGTTGCGCTCCGCTCTGCTCTGCCTACGGTAAAGGCCCAAGCAACAAGACCTGCACAGACTTTACTCTGATTTTAAGTTCTATTCACGGCTTCTCCCTGCAAAGAAAGACACTCTCAGACTCTCAGTTGGTATGCTGCTGTGTGTATTATCAATGTGCACGCTGACACATGGTCGATCTCTGTTTGACAACTCCAACGCTAAGCCGAGGTAGTACTCTTTAACCTGCATGGAATAAGACGGAACAACGTCGCTTGACAAGGGCTTGCAACCTTGTCAGCTTCATCTCGAGACTCGACCGTTGATTGCTTACACAAGCAAAGCTCTTTACCTCCTGCACAAAACTCAATAGGGGAACTCGTTGAGGGTCAATGGCAGTGATGTTGTTGGGCTAGGCCTTTCTTGCATACAGACCATGCTCAGGCCTTTTTATGCGTGCAAAAAAAAAAAAAAAAAAAAAAAAGACAGCCCTTGTTAGAAAAGATCTTGGCATGTTCTTTGCAGTTTCTTTACATTGTTAGTCTGTCCTGCATCAGTGGGTATAGACCAGAAAGAAAGATGATATGTTTCTCAGCAAGTGGGTGTGTAGCGCAATGCTGGGATGACCGGACCGCCTTTGCATCGCATCTCGGCAGCGTGAAACTTTTACAGCGGTCCTTCCGAGATATGAAATAATGACTCAACACCAGCGAGTCAATTTCAAGTGAAAGCATGGGGGGCCTCGCTGTTGGCCGGAGCAAATTGTAAGAGGCCCGTTCAAGCACAAGCATGTCATGCGCTGCCATACAGTCCTCACAGCTCTGCCTAAAAGATGACATTGCCGGCCGGGCGATTCTCATAGTTATTGCCAATTCCAGAGGCTCGCTCCGTTTGGTGTAACGGAGATACTACGTTTAATGGTCAATAACAACACTTGGTGCAGAGTTGGCCAAGACTATGAAGTCATCTCAAGGATCGAGTCTTACGGCAACTAGCCCACGAGGGAGTATCACTGGAATAAAAAAACACAAAACGGGCAGTCGATGGACTAGAGTTGGTGAAATGGGCGACATGCAACCAAATGCCGACTTCTATAGGGTGGTGTTAAGACCTTGATATTAGGCGCAGTACCCGAGAAGCGGCCCGTAACAGTCCGTTGGAAATGTGGCAAATTGAATAAGCTTAAGGAGACACATTAATTTGAAGAGTTGCGACCTGTCAACAATAACCGCGATACTGAGATGTGACATGTATGATACACAGAGAATGGAAATTGGAGATTCTAAACATTTTTTTTCAATGCCGTGGTGGGGCTCTAACAAAATCTACAGAACACCAAGAAAGATAACTGAAATCCAACTTTTATCTGCTAACTTGCAGTATGTACTGTAAATGACGATGAAGATAATAAATAACAGAGGATATAGTGAAAAAAAAAAAAAAAAAGACTTAAGCTGCAAGACTATTCATTTCAGTCCAGTCAGCTATTTTCGCTGCCCTTGCAAACCCATTACAAACGTAGGTATCCATTCATTCATGCTGTCGTAACATTTATTGCTTGAAAATAGATTGAACAATCTCGCCTGAACGAGTGCCCAGGACGGAGAGAAGGGTGTCGCTCAGCTAGAGAGGAAATGTTAGTATCGGGCTAATAGCAAACAATTCATGGTGGATCACTTACCCCGTGAGTACCCTCGCAGCAGCCCTGCAGCCAGACGCCAGATTCGTCGGCAACAGTGCCAGGGGAGAACTTGACTCGGTAATCCCTTCCGACGGCCAGCTTACGCTCGCCATCCTGTGTCTCGACGTTCCAGCCGTTGACACCCTTGGGGGACTCGTTGCGTCCTGATACGGTCTTGGGAAGCATTGTCCAGGCGTCCTTGAGCATGTCGACGTGAGCGCTTCGCTTGTAACCGGTGGCAGCAACGATCAGATCAACTTCGAAAGTCTCCTGGTCGACGAAACCATCGAGAGGACCTTCGTTCACGCGCTGGACCTTGATCTCAAGAGCGTCGCCCTTGGTGTCGACGCTGGCAATCTCACGGCCAGAAAGGATTCTGTGGGGCCATTGGGTCTCATCGTCGCTAATCTCGCGCTTCTGGTCGTACATCTTCTCGAAGAGGTGCTCAATGAGCTCCAGGCGAACAACACCATAGTTGGTGGCGCGAGCCTCAGTCAGAAGAGTCTCACGAGCCTTGACAGATCGTGGCCACAGGTTGTCAATGTATTCGGGGTTGAAGATGGAGTTGACGCTGTACGTCATCGTCAGCAGGGGTTCCTATAATGGGCAATTGTGCACAACTTACAATGGAGAATCATCACTGGGGCGCAGGAACTCCTGACGCATGATGAGGTAGGTCTTGGAGTTGGGGTACAGGTTTTGGACGTTGTTGAAGATCTCGGCGGCACTCTGGCCAGCACCGATAACAGCAACTCGGTAAGGAGCGTTCTGCTTGGCTAGGATTTGAGGGGCGTAGTTGGCGAATTGAGAAGAGTGCAGGACACGAGGGTGCTTGGCAGGGAGGCTCTTGGGGAGAGAAGGCTGGCCACCAGCAGCAACAAGAACGTGACGGCTGCGGAAAGACTGAACCTGACCAGTCTTGCCGTTGCGAGCCTGGACAGTGAAGGTCTTGACGGCACCAGCCTCCTTGCTCTCGGGGGAGATAGAGAGAACCTCGTTGTTGTAGCTCACAACATGGTCGAACCAAGAAGAGCACCAGCGGAGGTAGTCCTCGTACTCAGTACGGGCAGGGAGGAAAGTGCTCAGGTTGGTGAAGTCAACGAGACGACCCTGACGGTGGAGGTAGTTAAGGAAAGTAAACTCAGATCGGGGGTTGCGAAGAGTGGCCAGATCCTTGATGAAGGAGATTTGCATCTTGGCTCCAGGGAGCAGCATACCGGCGTGCCAAGCGAACTTGGTCTGCTTCTCGAGGAAAAGCACCTTGGGAGCTGCGCCATCAGGGCGAAGCTTCTTGCCCTCGGCGATGGCATCGTGCATAGCGACGGCTACAGCCAGAGATGCGGGGCCGAAGCCAGCACAGATGAGGTCAAACTCAGAGTCCGCTCCCGCGGACTCGAGATAAGGAGATCTCTCCTTGTGAACGCGGGGTCCATGGCGGGCAGTAGGAGCAACGCCGTTGCCGTTGACATGACCGTTGTGGCCGTTAGTAGTACCGTTGGTGCCATTTGTACCGTTGTGACCGTTGGTGGTACCGTTGGTGACCGGGGCCTCGGAGCCGTTGAATGAAACCTCGCTGTGGGGTGACATGATGACTGATTGCTGTTGAAGAGGGGTATATATCTAAAATTGCAACAAAGTCCTTAAATGCAGGCCAGATTTTATAGCACACAATTCGTGTCTATGAAAGTTGGCGTATTGCAAGTCGTGACGTGGGAGAAGCCGGGAAGAGGTCCACCAAGTGAATGGGAGGCTGCGAGGTATAAAACCGGTTTGCAGAAGCTCTTATTCCTTCTCTTAAGTCGGGTATTACTCAATCTGGTCAGTATGATGAACAGATTTACAAAATGATGCAGATGAGCTTCATATAACAAGATGAAAGGTCGAATGAAGCTTCAATGTCCGGATTGGGGTAGGCAACAAGAGTGACACAATTAGGGTCTAACTCTGACGAGATATGTTAAAGAGCTTTAGGTAGTGCCACCGAGGCTTGAGAGAAGCTTCGTCAATGAAGATAGAAAGAACAGAAGAACGGAGTAGTTCCGAAAGACGGGGGAGATATGGCATTTTGTAGTTCAGACGGGGATGGGATCTACAAGCTTTTGCTTCGGTCCCATATTGCGTGCCCATACTCTTATTCGGAGCCAAACTAAGCTGCAGACCCTCAAAAGAAGCAAGCAAGAAAGTACAGTACATACAAGCTCCGGCGAAGCTATAGTCGAGCGAGGTACACTGCATTACATGACGAGACGCTTGCCGGCGCTGGACACGCCTCATTAGGTACATGGAGGAGGCGGATACGAGTACATGGAAGTTCTCCATGGCTAATACAACCTCGTCAAGCTCGTACGTACATACTTGGGAAAGTACATTTGTGATGGAGCCATGATACATCAAAAACCATCCATGATGGAGACACTACTATACTGAGCCGGGAAGAACACAGCTAGCTAGCCCACTAGAGACTGGGCTTTTGCTCTCAGTGCTGGTCATCCTGGGCTGGGCTGGGCCGAGCACGGCGGCCAAGCCAAGGCGTGGAGCCGCGGTTGCCAAGCAAGCAAAAAGCATAGCGAACGGCAGAGTGGAAGCCGGGTCAGGCCAGAAATACAGCAGAATGTGAACGAGAATGGTGACGGAATCCATTGCAGTTAACGTCAGTCAACGAGACTTTGGTTAGTAGGCAGTGAATGAGACCAGGACTAAGCCCAAGCCTAGGCCCTGTAGAGAGGGTGGGATCGGGAAATGGTGGGGGTGGGCTGAGTGCCCTGCTGCAGAGAAAACACCAACCTTTTCGAGCTTTAGCTCGGAGGGTTCTTGTAAGCTATTTTGGGCTTCTATATTTTATTTTCGTGACTATTTCAGTTTCTCTGCTGAAGTTTTGTCTGTGTTGAATCTCGTGAAGTGGGAGAATGAGCATAGCGCTCACATACCAATCCTGCGATAAACTCACCGTAACTCCCAGAACTTATGTTGACCCTCGATCATCTGAAGTAGCGATGATGTTAAGAGTGTTCCAAAGACATAGACACAGCATGGTTAAGGTATTGCCTCATGCAGGCCCCGTCTGGGATGGGTTCTGATGGTTGTGTCAAAACTTCTAAGGCTCTGTCAGCCGCTGCATGATGGGCGACACGATACATCAAGACGACAGACTAGGCCAGTCATCGGACTGCAAGGGATGAAAAATGGATGGAAAATGTCGCGCAGTCAAAGACTCTGTGGCCTACTCCTCCACGTCCATGGCCGCGGCGTACCTCGTGGACCCTCCTCGTGGGACTTCATCAACGCCGTGAAGTTCCGTAGCGCATGAGTGAACTTCGAGGCGCCACTGCCCACTCATCATCTCCGAGCAGTATCACGCTGGCTTGCGGGTCTAACGAGAGCTTCCCAACCCGTCGCAAGCCCCCAGCGTGGAGGGACCCTCCAGGGATGCGTGGCGGCGTGGGTTGAGTCCGGCACTCGATGTTGAATGAGGAAACGATGAGCATCAAATGGGCAGAGAAAAAGACCATGAGCAAGGGTCGAGGCATGTTAACAGGATACCCATACTCGTGGATGAAGCTCAAGCAAAGTTTGTTTTTAGTTTATTGACGGACGATGGCGATCGCTATTGGAACCTTCCTATATGGACGTATGCCGTAAAAGCTTAGGCCTTTCGCGAATGGCGATCGATGTACGTTGACATCTTTAAATCAAGAGTGTGATATGCCATCTCCTCAGCTTGAGCCCCCTAATATGACCTCTTCCAAAGCCTATGGACTCTAACTACTCTTTGACCCATGATCTCCCCCAAACCCTCGACTTCTACAAGCTTCAACCCGATGTTTTTCTTCAGCTTCATCTCCACAAGCGGGGTGTTTATAGCCACTTGCGTCTCAAGACGGTGGCAGGAGGAAGTGGAGGTTCCTGAATTACGAGGAAACTAACCAAGGCTCCCCAGTAAAGAAGCGTAAGTGCGGACGAATATGATGCGACGTCGGCGACGATCTTTGGTAAAAGATCAGATAAGATAGACATGGCAAAACAGCGAGCAAGCTTGGCGAACTCTGCAAACCTTGACGCCGCCGAGCAAGGGCCAGACGGTCTTACTACTGGAAATATGCTTGCCATCCCAGCTGGCGTCACAAAAGGTGGAAGCAGCCGCAGTTCAAAGTCCAGTTCAATGCTTGCCAACTGGGCCGATGCAGACCCTTGAAGACGCTACGCATTTTGTTCCGTGGGATCGTGGCATGGGTTCGAAACGTCCAGTCTCGTCTGGGCCGATGACGGCTTTCTGCAGCCCCGCCACCTAAGCCCTTTCACACCGTTCAGACACGACGTCAAACCATGGGTTGGGGGCAGCGAAAAACTTGACAAGCACAGGCACAGGAACGCACAGAGTGCGGCGAAGAACGGCTTTGGTTTGACGGTGTCGACGCCAGAAGAGCCGATCACTCGAGTCTCGCAATGTCGTTCGAGGAAAAGGAGGGGCAGTCCCGCAGAGCAAAGAGGGAGGGGTTGGCAAAATGTTGATGATTGGAGTGTTGATGGGCGGCGAATATCTTGGGCTCCATTGTGGAGATGAGGGAATTATCTGATGATCTGATAAACCGGATCTGATAAGATCTAATTAGCCAACTTACAGTAGCGTCACACACCAAGCTCGAGTTGACTGGTTACCGACCTCCGAGCGGCCCAGGGGTCTTTTAGCACTAGATGGCCCCTGGTGCTGGTGCTCACAACCCCTGCAACAATTTGCTGTGTTTTTTCTTCTTGGGGACAGGTACCGATCGAATGAACGCCAGCGAGCGGAGGGCAATTGTGAATGGAAGAAAAATTTTCTTCCCTGGTGAACTGAAGCTTATCCCTGTTGGAACAAGGCAGAGGTGTCTTGACCTATGAGCGCAAGCACTCAGCGTTGAATCTCCATGGATTGATGAGCTGTCTAGAGCTGCATTTACTAACAGGGTCCTACGCCTCAGGGAGTTAATCGGGCTAGCGGGTAATGATTTTGCAGAGGGCCATCGATTGACTGATTGATTAGATGTAAATGCGCCGGAGAAGACATCTCAGACCGATAACGGTGCTTCCGGTATAATCCATACAGCAAGGATACGCCAGCGTTGATGTTGCAATGACAGAAATCATGGAGAGCAAATATGCAGCCATGGGACGACACAACTCTGGAAATACCCGTGGTATGGCTCGATATGATCAGCAAAACCGTAAGATGATGCCAATTGCGGGTGACGATGTTGCTTTTTCTTCGTCCTGTTGGACCCCTGCTTTCGTGATACCTTTCCGTGCTGCGATCTAGAACACCAAGCCAACGCTCCGGCAGTACCTGGTCGCACAGTTGGTTCGTACATCAAAGGATGTCGTACCCGTTTGCGATCCCGTGTCTGAGGGTCCAAGTAGTACCTACAGTAGCCTCCCTCAGACCGTCAAATTATCCCAGCAATCGTCAGTAGAAACACAGTCAGGGACCTTAAGCGCTTCTGTCACCATGCACGTGAGAGGCAAAGTTTGTTCATGAGGAAAAGCAGAAATTTACGGGCGAAAGCACTGTTCAGGACAGCAACAGAAGCCGCTTTGTCTTGCCGAAATCAGGCTATAATACAAGTTATACTTAGCTGAAACTTGAACATGGGAATGAATGCATGCATATGAAGCATATGAGGTTCGGTCAAATTCGAATGGTGACTTTCTGCACAATGAGTGTGTTTGGTTTCGTACCATAATCTTGGCCACCCCTAAAGTTGACCAGGAGCATTACACCTACGTCACAGGTTGCTCGAAAAGTTTATGGCTGTTACCAATGTTTCGGGTGGCTTTTTACCTTACAAGAGGTCCCGTATTTTCCACTTGACGAAAAATACTGACTGAACATTCTTGATTTCTTGAAATGCAATTAAATTACATATCAATTGGGCGGGCATGAGTACCGCTTTCTTGCTGGGTAAATCCTAGAATTGACTGGAAGTTTTCGAAGCGAGCGACGAGAACAGGTACATGGGCGGCCGGGGGAGAGTACATCATTTTCAATTACGTGTACATTAGATTATCTGATTAGATCCGGACTTTGAAGATCGGCGAGCTTGTAGCACTTGATGCTTGAAAGCAAGCCGCATCTGTCAAGACACTTGGAAACTTCTGCCGAGCATGAACGGGGAACTGACACTACGCAGTCATATAGAAGAAACAGTATCAACCCAATTCTGTCTCACTCAAATTGGAATATCACAACAGAATTGATGCTGAGACCTGATCTTTGAGAATTATTATTATTTCAGGGTAGCAAGCTCCTCGATGAATGATGAGTGCACTGACCAAGGCCGACTAACATTAGTGGTTGGTCATAGCCCACACACACCCTCCCTTCCAATTCCCCACCCTGCACCTTGCATCATCAAACGCCAGGGTCAGAAAATCCACCATCATCACCACTGTCCGCTTCATCGGGCATCGCATCATCACCCTCAACGTTGCCCGTTTGCTTCGCTGGAGCCGCAACGGGATCATTCATTCCGCCTGTGACGATTCTGACTCGACAGCAAGCCTGTCGCTTGTGCTGTGCTCTCGGAGGCAGCCGTCGACCTGTCAGAATCACAGGCAACATTTTGGAAGGTCATGTTGACCTGGCTGGCCTGGCCTTTCTCCATAATCTCGGCTCGGTGTCCGCACAGCTCTTTTCCGCTTTCTTCGTTTCAGCGTTGTGCTGCTGCCATTATTAGCTACGCTCTCTCCCGGCCCGTTATCCCCTCGGGAATCCGAGCCTGCGCCGAC